TTGAGTTGCATGATTCAATGAAACGGTCTTTTATGAAGCAGTGCGGAGAGGTTGAAGAACTTCATTGCGATTTGCACGGTATGGATCGATAAAAGGTTCTAGTCAGTCGCGACCCATTTGGGCGAACGCACCCCCACTGCCCAAATTTGTTTATTTTAGACCTCCAGGGCGCTCACTAGAAGGGTCAAGGGGAGAGAAGGAACGTGGCTGGGGAGTTTTGGCGAAAACGCAAACGAGGCTCTATTAAAGTTATTCTTATCGAAAAATAGATCATAGAAATGCAACAAGGTGCCGATGCTCCCGGCGGAACGCTACCTACCGACAATCTAAAGCGCTCTAACGCTAAAGAGGGCTAAATTGCGTGACCCGCCTGTGAAAGGATCAGAAGAGGATAAAGCCACATCTTTTCAGGCTTCTGAATCTGAAACGCTGAGAATGAAGGGTTAGCTTTCGCAACAGGATTATTCACGCTCCCTGGTCGATTTTCCTCACTTTTTGCCTAGAGGGTGACTCACGTCCAACGCATCGTCTGCACCGCCTAATAAAAAAAATACTCTGAAAATTCTAGAAGTTTCTGAAAAGGCTTAAGACCTGCAAGGTATATTTCTGAAGTTAAAACTTGAGGCAAAATGTCGGGAAAACCAAGGTATCCTCAAAATTAGAGTGGAATACCTGAAATTTGACGATAAGAGGGTAAAAGCTCCAAAATTCTGGAAATTTTGCGCCTGAGCATTAAAGGTATTAGAATGAAAGCGTATCTCCTAATATTTCGAGTTTATTGATGAGTTAACAGTATATTTTCGCATATAAAATAAGTAATTTTGGGAAATCAGCTTTAAAGCAAAATCCAAGCATAAATACCCCCAACCACACCCCCCCCACAAACCCAAAACCCAACCCCAAAACCCCAAACCACCCCACCACCAACCCACCCAAAAATTGAAAACCCACAAAACTTAAAACGAACACCCATTAACAAATCAAACCCCATTTCACCCACCATCGCACCCCCCCCCCTACCCTGGGTGTGATTAAAGGGCCCCCGTCAATTGAATAGCTCAAATTTAGCAATTTGCGGTCTAAACGCTAATTATTGGTGCGAAAATAATGATTTCTGATACCTAACAACCCTGAAAAGTTCATGTGGTTCGATGCTGGGTGGGTGCGAGGCCTTTGGCGCATTTCCCCCCGCACACGCGACGCACCCGTCCCCCGCCCGGGTCCCATGACGAAAGCACGTGCTGGCACCGGGCCAAATAACCCTGGCCCGAGAGGAGGACTGTTGCGGTAGTGGACGCGGGATGTCACCGATGAGCACGAGATTGAGGGGCAGTGAGCATGGGAACCAAAAGAACGAATTTTTTGATGTTTACGATTTGGGGGTGGACCAGAGTGGGTGAGAGGTAAAAATTTGTTGCAGCAAATGACTAAATTTAATGGTACGGTAACCTTTATTCGACAATTATGTATAAAAGTATCTATCCTTGACCACGGACGTTATCACATAAAAACGAAGGATTTGAAATGACTGTTTGGAGCTATTTTCCTCCTATTTCGAGAGCATCGGGATACTGTAGCGCTTTTCTGATGTTGTTAAGCCGGCTTTTAAGACAACACATAACTTGTGAGAACTTTATCCGCTTTTCCAAAGAAAAAAATTTAAACTCTCAAAAACTCGGAGCGTGAAAATAAATTATCGATATTTGTTCTGTGGGAAAAGATCCTGAAAATGCAATAAAGTAACACCAAGTCAATAAAAAAATAATATAAAGCACCGCACCGCGTACTGCACAAAAAAGTACAGTATTATCGTAGCAGGGGTGCGAAATGACTATTTTCACGAAAGAATCTTGAAAACAGAGATCAGGTTGTTGCTACGGCTCCTAAGCTACAGGTTCAACGGTGATTATACGAATACCATAATTTCGTACTTAAGTTAATTTTCGTAACAGCCATTATTTTCAGTTGATCGGCTAAACCGCTTTAACAGTGATATCATTCTATGCTTTCTGCGTCAATTGATCACGTGTGGTGGAATTTCTCCCTGCGTCGTCGTCGCCACCAAGGGCTTTTCTAATGGCTTGCGCCAGAAAATATGACACGAAACACATAACCTCCTCCCCGTACACTGATAATCCGTTTTCGTGGGTTTATTAGCGGCTTAGCTTTTCGAGTTTCACCTCCTACCTGCTGCCATCTCCATCGCAAAATGGAACCAAATTATTCTCATTTGGCCGCAGAGGCGTTTCATCGTCTAAAAGTCTGCGTTGGTCTTTTCTATACTCTTTTCTTGCTACAAGTTACGCCCCCGTTTTTCCGGTAGGTTGTGATATACCCATGAGTATTTCAATCTCCAAGAGAGGGATCCCTAGATGGAACCGTTTTAATCGAAACTAGTGACCCGTTGGTAATGGCTCGTTTTTAAACTTCGCTCTTGTTCCGGAATTCTAAAAGCCGAAGACCTAAATCGATTCAATAGCATTGCAAGAAATGGTTTTTAGCCCTACAATAACCTAAATAGAATCCTATAGAGTACAAGTCATGAATAGCCTGGTACGTGGGGACCACGTGCGGGTAGTCAAATTTCTGACGTTGCTCATCATTGCTATTGGAATCGCATGTTGTCTTGCCCTGTTGAGATGGCTGCTGTTCGAGGCCCCATGGGAGGCTACAGGATTTCTTGGTCAGGATTTGAATTCTGAAATAACGGTGAATATATAGTGCTCTATGGTGTACCGGTCATTTACTTGCTCGTAAGGAAGCGTCAAGAGGTTCGTAACGTACTAAGAAACGGACACCGTTCTTTAGGAGACGCAGCAGCAGCCTTCCGACCCGACTTCGGTGGAACCTTTGGAATGATGATGATGATTTCTCCATTATCGTATTTCTTCATTAGTAAGACGGCGACCATTTTCATGTTAGATAGTAAAGTGTTTCCACTCAGGTTGGAAACTTGAAATCAAACCAAGCTTATCTTGTGTAGAATTTTACGCTGATTCCGAACCTCTTTTCAAAAGTTGTAAAATGACAATTTTTAAAAAGTTACAACGTATTGTTTGTTCTGCAATTAAAGAATCATAACTTCAATGGTCCATAAAAATTGCCGGAAAAAGCTTCCGGAAGTGTTAGGTAGCAGGTTTTACTCAGCAAGATATGGGCTCTCTTTTTTTCTCTCTTCTGCTCTCTTCCACCGTATTATGTTTTCTAATTAGTTTTTTATTAATAAATTATGCCTACCGCTTCTTCGTTATATAAAATTGCGATATGTCATGTTGAAAGAGAAATGATGGCTGACTCACTACTTTTAATAGGTAATTACTATCCCTTCTTGTCAGGTCCCGGGTAGCCCCACCGGCTTGTCATTTTTATCGATTATCCCCCAAAAGGGCTTGACAAGTAATTTGGCTGGATTTTCTGTAGCAACAAAACGGCGCAGAACCCCTCATAATACCAACCCATTTCGAAATATAATTCTTATTTCATTTAATTTCTTTTAATGGCCGGTAAATCGGACGGCCAGCGAGAAGAGAACCGTCGGCGAGAAGCGGCTGTGGATGTTTTGGCTGGGATCGGTCTTTTGCTTTTGTTTGGAATCGCCGGCGGCTTTTGCCTTCTCATAGAGGCAGTCAAGTAAGTGTTAAGTTTTGTTGAAGGCCAAGTAAGAGGCATTGTTTAAAAAAAAAAAAAAAAAAAAAAAAAAAAAAAAAAAAAAAAAAAAAAAAAAAAAAAAAAAAAAAAAAAAAAAAAAAAAAAAAAAAAAAAAAAAAAAAAAAAAAAAAAAAAAAAAAAAAAAAAAAAAAAAAAAAAAAAAAAAAAAAAAAAAAAAAAAAAAAAAAAAAAAAAAAAAAAAAAAAAAAAAAAAAAAAAAAAAAAAAAAAAAAAAAAAAAAAAAAAAAAAAAAAAAAAAAAAAAAAAAAAAAAAAAAAAAAAAAAAAAAAAAAAAAAAAAAAAAAAAAAAAAAAAAAAAAAAAAAAAAAAAAAAAAAAAAAAAAAAAAAAAAAAAAAAAAAAAAAAAAAAAAAAAAAAAAAAAAAAAAAAAAAAAAAAAAAAAAAAAAAAAAAAAAAAAAAAAAAAAAAAAAAAAAAAAAAAAAAAAAAAAAAAAAAAAAAAAAAAAAAAAAAAAAAAAAAAAAAAAAAAAAAAAAAAAAAAAAAAAAAAAAAAAAAAAAAAAAAAAAAAAAAAAAAAAAAAAAAAAAAAAAAAAAAAAAAAAAAAAAAAAAAAAAAAAAAAAAAAAAAAAAAAAAAAAAAAAAAAAAAAAAAAAAAAAAAAAAAAAAAAAAAAAAAAAAAAAAAAAAAAAAAAAAAAAAAAAAAAAAAAAAAAAAAAAAAAAAAAAAAAAAAAAAAAAAAAAAAAAAAAAAAAAAAAAAAAAAAAAAAAAAAAAAAAAAAAAAAAAAAAAAAAAAAAAAAAAAAAAAAAAAAAAAAAAAAAAAAAAAAAAAAAATTTGCTACAAAATCACAAAAGACCCTTTTTACGAATTATAGGGAGTTGGCAGAAGCGAAACGATCCAACCGCGCACGCCCGCTACGAAATCAACATCGAGTCGCCATTGCACAAAATTCAGCCGGGATCGTGGAAGTGGATTCGGGCTACGCACTTACCAGGTTAGGCGTTTTAATAAAAACAATTTTTTTTTTATTGAGATTGGAACAAAACAGACGTTTTCTTTTTTTTAGCGCAGAAAGAACCACCGGTCTCCGGAACCTAGACGATCAACACCTGCTCGTCACGTTTGTCCTAATCCTTCTATTTGGGCTGATCGGCTTCCGCCTGCTCTCCACTGTTCTCTGGCTCATCCTTGGGGGCGTAGAATTACTGGGTTTGTTAATAATTTTTTTAGCTAACAAGTTAATTTTAGTTCTTGGTACCGCGCTCGTCATGTTTATGATGCTATTTTTCAATCCAAGAACTAACTGACTAGGAGTTCAAGAAGAATGGGAACCGAAAATAAATTCAAAATTTATTGAAAAACCCGTGAGAAAAGAGCACCAGGGATATTAATAGTGGCAAATATTCTGCAGCGGCTCGTCGTCGGGCATTCCGCGTTCGACCTTTGCACAGTCGTGAACGTAGTTGAATTGGGTTGGGTTTTGGCGGATGAAGGCGCTGCGAAGAATTGTACCCGCACTCTGGTCGTACCTAAAAGTAGAAAATAGTTCGGATTATCTTTATTCCTCACATTTCCCTGTCAGTCTCTCTCTCTCTCTCTCTCTCTCTCTCTCTCTTTCTCAATCTTACCTATGGTACCCGCTTGCCCGAAAAGTTATCCAATCGAAAAACGAATTCCTGGGAGCTATGCAGCCCTCCGTTAGGGCGCAAAGTAGCAACCTGGAATTTCGAATTCTACATTTGATAAACAACTATAGAAAACTGACATTGATTAATCGAAGGCGCCTAAAAGTAGGCTTACCATTTCAATATTCTTTTGCTCTGCCGACTCCTATGGTAGAAAACCACCGCCTCTCTCTGGTGTTCATCGTGGTATTTTGTAGGGAAAGGGAGGTAGTCGAACATTTCTAAAAGCATAATTGACATTAACTGCTGCTATTAAACCTTTCCTGAAGCATAACTAACGTACAAACGATGAAAATCCTACCGGGGTATGTATACGCCATTTGTTTTCCGACCACCTGGCCCATCACAAAATCTGGGGCCTGAAAATTGGAGGCTACATTTGCAACGCGATAGAGCAGGAGGCAGGAAAGAGTAAGGGAGAGAGAAATCGAGAGAGAGAGAGAGAGAGCGAGCGAGAGAGAGAAACACTTACAGTCCCGTTATTCACAGCTTCATAAACTTTCGAGAGGCAATTGGGCGAATCCAGATGTACAGAAGTGTCCACCATCCAAAAAGCGGGATGTTCGAGTAGCATTTCCTAAAAATTAACGTAAAAACTGCGATAAAAAGAGAAAGAGAGAGAGAGAGAGAGAGAGAGAGAAAGAGAGAGAGAGAGAGGGATAGAGGGATAGCTACTTACCGCAGCAATGATGACCTTAAACCCATATGTCGTCAACTGTCTCACATGCCTCGGATAGCTCTCAAAATCGAAATCTCTGACTTGCAAGTTGCAGACTTCATCGAGTTCTTCGCGCTAAAAGTAACTAATCATGGAAATTGCTTGTTGATTAGCATATTAAGCTCTTTCGGTAATTTTTCCACCTTACCTGGTCCTCGTCCAACCCGAGATCATAATAAATAATCGAATTGTTATAAAAATTTCTAAAATGCCGAAGCGTCAACCGACTTTCCCGGAAATGATTTGATGAGCTGTACATTATGAAAGTGACATCAGAAGATCTTAATATTTAAAAAATCACAATAGATTTGAAAAGTACTTGATAGGTATTGATTTCTGGAGTTTAATTTGGTCCTCGGTTAATCCGAAACGATCCAAATACCAGACGAGGTCATAGTCAAAGGGCCTTCCAGATAGGTTTTCGATGGTAAATTGGACCTGTAAGCACATTATTAGGAATATACTAGCTGTCCCTCCCTCAGTAGCTGTCTCCTCTCTCTCTCTCTCTCTCTCTCTCTCTCTCTCTCTCTCTCTCTCTCTCTCTCTCTCTCTCTCTCTCTCTCTCTCTCTCTCTCTCTCTCTCTCTCTCTCTCTCTTGCCTTTTCCCTGTCTCACTCACCGGCTCTTCTCTCTCTCTCTCTCTCTCTCTCTCTCTCTCTCCCTCTCTCTCACGCTCTAATAACAATATTAAACTTACAGGTTCATTTCCAAGTTTAATTCTTGGTATTTCCGCTCCACGAGGCCGGCCATTCAGATACCAGAAGAAAATAAACCCGAAAATCGCGCCAATCAATATAGGGATCTTTCTTCGTCTAAATAGGCGTACTAATATCTAAAGCGTCCTCACTTTACGGTATTCAAGAATTGCCTAGATATCGGCATAGACGATTGGGAATCGATGTTTGCCTGGTAAGGGGATGGAGATCGATATGGGAACGGCCAGAAACCCGGTGCGATAAGGGCCCCTTTTGCTTGCAAACAAAATTATTCCTGACCGGCACTTTGCATACACATATCGACCGTGGGAGGCAGAGGCAAGCTCAGACTTAGCTTAGGCTTAGGCTTAGGTTACGCTTAGGTTTATGCTTAACTTTAGGCCTAGACTTAGGTTAGGTTAGACTTCGGTTCAGGCGTAAGCTTAAACACAGCTTGCGCGTAAGCTTAGGCTGGGGCTTAGGCTAGGCTTAGGCTCAGCTTGCTTCAGCTTAGGCTGGGACTTAGGCTTGGGCTTAGGTTCAGGCTTCGGTTTAGGCTTAGGCTTAGGCTTAGGCTTAGACTTAGATTTAGGGTTAGCCCTGGCTCATTCTTTCATTCGTTTTTTAAGCCTTCTCTCTCGAGCTGAAAAACCGATCCCAACGAGTTTTTCCTGGGCGAGACTACCAAAAATGTCGAAAATTTGCCACCCCTCAAAAACGTGGCCCTCGGATCGCGATCTCGCGGAGTAACCGGCTAGTCAAATAAAATGGGCCTTGACCGCCCGGGTAGGCAGGTCACAAATATGCAGGCAGAAAATTGGAAATGGTCACGAAGACCAAGCAGCACTTTCCAAAAGCCGAGGGAGGCACGTGAACGGCTAGTGGAAGAGGGGATCAAAGAGCTAATTTAAGTATGAAAATGAAGCCAGCAGATTTTACATATAGACGGAGGCAAGTCAGAAATGATATTGGGAGGGAGAAAGAAAGAGAGAGAGAGAGAGAGAGAGAGAGAGAGAGAGAGAGGGAGAGAGAGAGAGAGAGTGAGAGGGAGAGAGAGGGAGAGAGATAGATGAGACCTAGCAGAGATCATTGGAGACGATCCTGTTGCTAAAACAAACAGTGGGACGAGAGTGCCACACGAGTTGTACGATTACGAAAATCCATGCAAAGGCACCAGGTGGAAAATTTCCAGAGTAAGTATGTAAAGTTCAAAATACGGAGAGCTAGCAGCCATAAAAAAGAATGGGTTTTAAGCTAGTGAGGAGGCAGGCTGGCAAAGATCGTTGGAGACTTTCGGGTAAAGATTGACCTTGGAGTATCGTTCTTCGAACATGTTAAGATCTGATACAACGCAAAAAAGCATAAATTGATAGTTAATCTGGATATTAAGCCCAATCTTAAGTGTGAGCCTGAGCCTAGGCCCGCATCTTAGCTTTAGTATAAGTCAAGCATTTTAAACCTCCACAAGAAGTTAAAGGCACCAAATCATGAATTTGAAGGCAGCAATCTGCCGTGCTGCTTTTAGATTTCGGATTTTAGGGACCAAGCGTCACGATATAAGCACGAGTCGCTGATCAGCACCCTTTCAGCGATCACCAGTCAATCGATTTCTATATTTTGCTTAATCACCATCGGCCCCCCCCAGGCCGAGAATTTCCTCCGTGCCCCCCCTTTGAAGAAATAAACCGGCGAATAGCGGGGACTAATCGGCTTTTTGAACTTATTTGATTTTGAACTACACTATGGCAGAAGAAATTCGAAAAGCATCTATTCCCTAAATGGAAGCCCACTCCCACAATCAAAATTGAATAATTGAACCACAATAATTGAAAACGCCGGCTTAAAGCATTTGAAGATTGTTCGAAACCAACGACAAGAAAATGCATCTAATTATTATTTTGTGCCCACAATATCTTTATTTACGGCTATCCAATAAGGTTTTCTTATCCACGCGGTTCGTTTTATTGCGTCCACAAAAGAAAAATATTTTCCGCATGAAAACGTGGATAGTTAAGAGAATTTGTATTTGTGCTCCAAAAATTCCTTGTTCCCCTCATTTTCAAAAAAAACCCGAAAAGCTTTTCGATACGGCTAAGTAGAATTTTTTTTGGTTGTTACTTCCAATAAAGGGCCTTGCAATGAACAAAAACCCAACTTTGAACTTTGTGTGAGAATAAATATAAAAATAAATAAATAAATATAATGAAGTGTCCAATACAATACCGTATAAGTTTACGGATTTTTGAGTCTTACGGCTTTCGAAAACTGAATTCCGTGGGTGCTGCGGCGCTACCGTAAGGTCGGTAAAATGGTAGAACGTCAAGGCAGCAGAGCGTTTCCCAATTAGGCGACACTATAGGCAACCCCAAACAAATCCAGTCACCCAAAAATCGAAATTCCGAACAGGCAGAGATCACATCGCCCGGCTCCCACGATTTCTGATCCGATCCGTGCCCCAGCTTCATTTTCCAGGCAAATTCGTGCCGATGCGGCCATTTCCACGCAACTCCAGCACCGAATTCGGGCCAGAAATCCAAAGATCCGAAGGGATGAGTTTTTCGCTTTACGGCGAACAGGTGTTCCAATACCCCACCCAGCGCGTAATACTGGTATATAAGAGGGTGGGGTAATTTGTAGTGGTGGGGTGCCAGAGTCAGATGTGTACACAGCTCCCGTGCGCAGACGTCCCGATACTCTGAACACCGATCAGCTAGCTTGGGGGAAGATGAGCCGTCGCCTGCTACCGTACCTCGCCGGACTTGTGGTAGGCTTAAGGTTTTAAATTTGCCTTAAGGTATATTTAAGTACCTGAAGTCTGTTTTTCCATGATTGAACCAAGTCTAAGCTTTGCTCCGAGCCTAGGAGTGCGAGCCAAGCCGAATCCCAGGTGTAATCGGAAGCAAGCCTAAGCATGAGCATGAACATAAGCACGAGCCCGCCTCCAGCCTGAGCCTGAGCTTGAACCTGGGCCTATTCCTAAGCCTAGGCCTAAGCCTAAGCCCGCGCCTCAGCAACGCGAATCCGAAGCCTAAGGCTAAGCCCAATCCTAAACCCAAAATCGCGTTTTGAATCAAAGTGCATTTTCGAAAATCGACGATTTTATTTTTTTTTAAAGGGCCGCGCAAGTAAAAGATCTGTGGTTTTGTGGATTCTGACAAATCGACAATTGGCCATTACTGTAAGTAATCGTTTTTTGGGAATACCTGATCTACGGTAGTGCCTAAATAATGGCCTAAACGGCAAAAATTTTGCCTGCCCGAAATTCATGGATTGAAATTTTGCCTTCTCAATCCCTTTAAAACCAGAAATCACAATTTTATTGTAGCTTGCAAAATTACCCTACGATTTTCCAGATCACCACTTTTGCCGCTACGCCGACGCACGACACAAGTTGTCGGTCGGATGTGATCAACGACTTCCGATGGACGGCCGTCAACAACATCAACATGTACCGTCAGTTGTTGGCGAATGGAACGGCGCCCAACAAATGCGGGACACTGCCCGGAGCCAAGAATATGTACAAGATTGTGGGTTTTTGTGAGAGAGAGAGAGAGAGAGAGAGAGAGAGCGAGAGAGAGAGAGAGAGAAATCAAGCGATAGATACGACCGAATAAATTTTAGTGGTACGATTGCTCGCTCGAGGACATCGCTTACCAGTTCACATCGACCTGCGGAAATGGAGGAGCTTGGCCATCAAATGCGATCGCTATCTCGTAAGTCTAAGTTAAATTTCACGTTTTTAATTAATTCCTGGGATACCAGCCTTCAAAGACTGCTTCCTTCAACTCAAAATTTTTCAGGGGTGCCACCACCTCCCTAATGACCTCCGCGCAAGCCGTCTCGCAGCTGGTGTCGCTCATGAGCGGCCATCTGAAGCAGGCGACGACCACTGGAGTCGGTGCTGATGTGAAGATTGCGTCTGGTATCACGGATTGGAGCAATGTAAGTTTATTGAAATTGCCGATCGTCTAGGGGATTACTGTAGTCAGAACCCCAAGAGCATTACAGCGAGTTTTAAGTTAAGGTTTCATGATCAGCTAGATTGTCGTAATAAAGCCTATCGTGGAAAAAATGGTAGTCCCAAGGCTTTTCCAGTACGCAACCGGCGCCCGAACCCGTGTTGGCTGCTCCTATAAGATGGACTGTCCCGCAGCGTTAGGTCTACCGTATGGTTACTACATCGCATGCGTGTTTGACACCAGGTGGGTGGCTTAAACCTAGGCCTTGATGACCCAATCAAGGGAGTTTAGTAGTCTGTAGTTCGAACAAGTAACGGAAGACTTGTAAACGGGGGGTAAGCTAATTTTTAGCGCAGCTTCAACGGGTGATGCGGCCTACCAAATTGGCGACAAATGCGCGGCTGATTCGGACTGTACCTTGAATGCCGGAAGCACTTGCGAGACCGCGACTGGGCTGTGCCAGTTCAGATATACCGGTGGGTTTTTCAATCCAATCAATTACTTATGAAAACGGAAATTACTCGCGATTTACTGTTTTCGAGGCGTAAATAGAGTGACGAGAAGTGTAGAATGCTCGGAAATCTCAACAGTGCCTTAAATTTCGATAATTCGATAGCTTAACCGTATCTCTTCCAGACTCCGGTGCCAACACCCAGTGCCCTGGTACCCCAGCCAGCCTGACAGATGCCCAGCGCACACTCGTACTCCAGTGGCACAATCAGTTGAGATCGAGCCTCGCAAAGGGTAACGAGCCCGATGGAGCCGGAGGGAATGCCCCACCCGCGAAGAGAATGACCAAGATGGTAAGTTTACAAGATGGCAGTAAATTAACCTGTTTTGAAGCCCGACGGGGTGAAGCTAGATAAAATAGTATTAAAAAGAGAATTTTTAATAAAGTTTTCCGCTGAGTATTTCCTAGATATTTCGTAGGTTTCATTTTAATACCACCCCTTTTCAATTTTCAACAAATGTTTCGAAACCATAAACTAAAATTTCAAGGGGGAAAACGAACGAGGTCGGTTAGTTAGACTGGCGCTTCATATTTGCGCAGCCAATACGACCGCGTGGCAATGCCGACCTGCCGCGGACATCAAAAAAATTCCCTTTCTCTCCTGGTCTTCGGCCCCAAAAAACATGGGGCTTGATGTTGAAAGAATGCCGAAATCTATCTAACCAGGTAAAAGCTTGTTGTTATAGACATACAGCTGCGTGGCGGAGAAGACGGCACACGAATGGGGAGCGCAGTGCAACTATGCTCATTCGACGAATAGGAACAACACCGGGGAAAATCTATATATGACAAGTGATAACGCTCAGGATCCGGCTGCTGCTCTTACTGCGGTAGGTTTTGAGGGAGCGGGAGCCCCGAGAGAGACAGTGAAAGTAGGAGAGATCAAGAGCGAGAGAGAGAGAGAACGAGATGGAGAGAGACAGAGAGAACGAGATAGAGAGAGAGAGAGAGAGAGGGAGAAAGAGAAAGAGAGAGAGATTTCAAATTCCGATTTCAGGCCTCTCAACTCTGGTGGAAGGAACTGGTGCAGTACGGAGTCGGTCCTGACGTCAACCTGACGGATGCAGTATGGGCTAAAGGTGTCGGACATTATACGCAGGTGCGTAAAAATGTAAAATAGCATAAACTCTACTTTAATTCAAATTAAAAATCCGGTTTAAGATGGCCTGGCAAGAAACGACCCAAGTTGGATGCGGATGGATTCATTGCCCTACGTTCACCTACGTCGTTTGCCAGTACAAACCCGCGTAAGTTTTGCTCTCTCCCTGTCACTCTCGCTCTCTCTCTATAGCTAACTTCTGCCTTTTAGCGGTAACTACATGTACCAACTGATCTACGAGCCCGGACCGGCCTGCCAAACGGATGCGGATTGCGGAAGTGGGCGGACGTGCCTGGTGGACGAAGGCTTATGCCAAGTCTAGCCACTCTAATAACCTGAATCTCTAATCTGTACAAAAAACTTCGATGTGGGACATTTATACTTCGTGCATAAAGATTTGTGTGGCTCTGGCCAGGCTGCCTTACACTTAAATAGCGTTTCAGGGCTCGCTGCTCTCTCCCTCGCTTTTTCTCTCTCTCTCTCTCCCTCTCTCTCTCACTCTCATTCACTCTCTCTCTCTCTCGCACTCTCTCTCGCTCGCTATCACGCGCTTTCTCTGGTTTTAAAACTGCGAAAAAAGGTGTTTTTTCGACTCGACTATAGTCCATTTTGCAACATTGTCATTTTCTGATCACCTAACGTTCCGCTGCACTCCAAAAAACGTAAAAATTACCCGAAAAGTAGAAATTCCGTGGCACTACCCTTTACAGTCCCGATTTATGATCACTTAACTTTCCGCTACACTGCAGAAAACACCCAAAAACCGCTAGAAATGCACTTTTTTTAAAAATTCCGCAGCACTACACTACACACCACCCGACTCGCCGACGGCCAAAAGCCAAACGCTTCGTGGCGCCCTCAAAAAATGGTCCAATGCAAATTCCGTGAATTTTTAGAAGGACTACTCGTGCAGGAGGGTCGCCTGGCTGCAGGTGTTCAATCACGAGAACTCGGGGTATTTAAATGGACCTGCAACTTTCGGGGGGCCACTCGCCACATTCCATGTGTACCCAGCCAGCCGAGGGTCGAATACGTTGAACTCCGAATTCCGCGCAGCCAACCGAGCCAGAGGACCTCAAGATGAGCAGCTTGCTACTACCGTACCTCAGCGCTTTTGTGGTAAGTCTGGGGAAAAGGAAATTGGCAGTTTTGAGGATTAAAGTAATTAATAACTAGCCAGGTTTTCAGTATCTTTAAGGTTAGTTAAAGACCCATTAATGACCACTTACCGCGTCCAGGTCCTTTTAAAGGCCTAGTGAAGACGAGACTGTCGTCCTCCGTCTCATTTTCTCGAGTTTAGTGCCGGGCGCCATAATGGGGAAAAGGGGGGGGGGGGGGGGTGGGGGGGTGGTCGCGGGGCCTATCCCCCAGGTGTCGATGGATTTCTGTCTACTCGGCACCCAAAAATAACGACTTTTGCAGCTGTCAGCCGCCGCCACCCTGAGCAATGAAATGAACTGTCGAGCACAGGTAATGTTGGGAATCATGTAACCTCATGGGTTGTCTTGGTTAAGGTGACGGACCAGTTCCGCTACACCGCTCTGAACAACATCAACATGTACCGTCAGTTGTTGGCAAACGGAACAGCGCCCAACAAGTGTGGAACCCTGCCGGCTGCCAAGAATATGTACAAGATTGTGGGTTTTTGAGAGAGAGAGCGAGAGAGAGAGAGAAAGAGAGCGAAAACGAGAGAGGGAGAGAAAGAGAGGGAGAAGCGGGAAAAAGTGAGCGACGAGAATCCAGTAAATTTAGTGGTACGACTGCTCGCTTGAGGACATCGCCTACCAGTTCACCTCCACCTGTGGAAATGGCGGAGCCTGGCCCTCGAATGCTGTTGCTATCTCGTGAGTTATATCTGCGTGTTTTGCGGGCTCGAAAAAGCCATAAAATGCGTCCGAAAAATCTTGAATATCACCTACCTTTAGCGGAATGTCATCGGGTCCAATACCTGCCTCATCAGCTCCAGGATCTCTCCTCACTCTGATGACCGGCCACATCAAATTGGCACAGACCAACGGACTTGCAGCTGATGTTAAAGTTACCGCTGCTGTTGCGAACTGGGCTCATGTGAGTTTTCTCTCTCTCTCTCTCTCTCTCCCTCTCTCTCTCCCTCTCTCCCTCTCTCCATTTCTCTCGCTAAACCATCTTTTAGTACGCAACCGGAAGCCGCACCCGTGTTGGTTGCTCCTACAGGATGGACTGTAACACCACCAACCCTACATACCCCTATGGATACTACATGGCTTGTGTGTTTGATGCAAGGTATCTAGGATGTAATGGTCATTAAGATATCCGTCTAGTGCCGCAGCCACCGGAGATGCAGCTTACCAGGTCGGTGCCAAGTGCGTCATCGACTCGGATTGTACCTCCTTCGTCGGAAGTACTTGTGATGCGGCCACTGGACTATGCCAATACAAGTATACTGGTGAGCTTACCTTACGTTGCGTCTGGTAACGCGTTGCGTCGCGCTTACGTTTCCCAGTACTCTAATTCCAAGCTTTGCTTAAGACGATCCTAGGCGTACCCCCAGCATCGAATCCTGGATACCTTGACCTCTCACCCTTCTAGACTCCGGTGCCAATACCCAGTGTCCCGGGACCCCGGCCAGCCTGACCGATGCTCAGCGAAACCTCGTCCTCCAATGGCACAATCAGCTGAGATCGAGCTTGGCCAAGGGCAACGAACCCGATGGAGCTGGAGGAAATGCCCCACCCGCGAAGAGGATGACCAAGATGGTACCTTAAAAGCTCAGCTATCAATCTAGACCTTGTCTTTAGACATACAGTTGTGTCGCCGAAAAGACAGCCCACGAGTGGGGAGCGCAATGCAACTATGCTCATTCGACAAACAGGAACAATACTGGAGAGAACTTGTATATGAGCAGTGATAACGCTCAGGATCCGGCTGCTGCTCTTACTGCGGTAGGTTTTGAGGGGAGAGGGAGCCGAGAGAGGCAGCGAAAGTAGGAGAGAGGTAAAGAGAGAGAGAGAGAGCGAGAGGGAGAGAGAGAAAGAGAGAGAGGCTGAAAGAGAGAGCTAGGTACAAAATGACACTTTTAGGCCTCGCAGCTCTGGTGGAAAGAACTGGTACAGTACGGAGTTGGACCCGAAGTCAATCTGACAGACGCCGTCTGGGCAAGAGGCGTTGGACACTATACGCAGGCACGTAAAAACGATTTAAAATAGGCCTTCCTAAAACTCACAACTTTGCACTCAAAATCTTTTTTTAGATGGCTTGGCAAGAAACCACTCAAGTGGGTTGCGGATGGATTCATTGCCCTACGTTCACCTACGTCGTCTGTCAGTACAAACCTGCGTAAGTTTGAAGAACCTCTCTCTCTCTCTCTCCCTCCCTCTCGCTCTCTCTCGCTCTCTCTCCCAACCCCTTCTTTTTAGCGGTAACTACATGTACCAACTGATCTACGAACCCGGACCGGCCTGCCAGACAAATGCGGATTGCGGAAGCGGCAGGACCTGTATTGTCGCGGAGGGCTTATGCCAAGTCTAGCCCGGCACTTCATCACTTTCGATGATTACTAATCTCTGAAATGTACAAAACCTTTTTCGATGTGGGACATTTATACCTCGTGCATAAAGATCTGTGTGGCTCTGTGAAATAGCTCAAAACTATTGCAACATGAAAATGGGATGCTGAAAGTGTAAAAACTGTATTGTACACTTGTGTGTATAATAGTTGTTTTAATGGGCTTGGTATACACGCACTTACTCTTCTACTCTTTTGCCGACCGAAAATTGGGCGTGGATTACCGGCTAGCTGCCAGGAACGGAACCAAAGGTTCAGTTTAGCTTTGTTCCACCAGATAACCCGATTTTAACGAGCTGACCGTGCAAAAATCGGAAGCCCGAAAACTTTCAAGGTTCGTGCGTCCTGCACCAAAAGGTCGATGGGTTGTTTGTTACCGTATATTCAGGCAATGGTGGTACGTAATACCGTCTTTACCTTTAAAAAACATGTCTAATCCACCCTCGATTTAATCACAGCGGCTGGTTTTCAGCTATCTTCATCGGTGCGAATGGTCGATGAGATGAACTGTCGCCCGGAGGTAAGTCCGTGAAGTCGTGCAATCGAAGTAAGCTCTAGGTGTCGAACGAATTGCGAAGCAGCGTCGTTGAACGCATCAATTTCTATCGTCAAATGCTGGCCTTCGGAATGGCGCCGAACAGAGAGGGCTGGTTGCCTGGTGCAAAAAACATGTACCGGATCGTGGGTTTTTGCAACATGCTTTAAAACGAGAGAGAGAGAGAGAGAGAGAGAGAGAGAGAGAGAGAGAGAGAGAGAAACCGGAAACCGTGAAAAAGAGAACGAGCGAGAAATACAGCTAAACTCTAAATCTTTAGTGGTACGACTGCTCGCTCGAGGACCGCGCCTACCAATTCACCTCCACATGCGGAAATGGCGGAGCGTGGCCCTCGAATGCTGTGGCTGTTTCGTAAGTTGAACTATCGCCTTGAAGTTATCGCAATCTACAAAGCCAAAAGATAAATTAGTGCGCCGGAAAAAGCGTAAAGACCTCCTGTTTTTAGCGGAATGTCCTCCGCTCCAATTCCTGCTTCGTCAGCTCCAGGATCTCTCCTCACTCTGATGAACGGTCACATCAAGTTGGCACAGACCAACGGACTTGCAGCTGATGTTAAAGTTACCGCTGCTGTTGCCAATTGGGCTCATGTGAGTGGCTCTCGCTCTCTCCCTCCTTGCTCTCGCCTCTCTCTCTCTGACTCACTCTCTTTCGCCCTACTTCAAATTTTCTATCCTTCAGTACGCAACCGGCAGCCGTACCCGTGTCGGCTGCTCCTACCGGATGGATTGTAACACCACCAGCCCGTCATTCCCGTACGGATACTACCTGGCTTGTGTGTTTGATACCAGGTAATAGTAGTTGTAGTGGCTTAAGATATCTGTCCAGTGCCGCCGCCACCGGAGATGCAGCTTACCAGGTCGGCGACAAGTGCGTCATCGACTCGGATTGTACCTCGTTCGTCGGAAGTACTTGCGATGCGGCCACTGGACTATGCCAGTACAAGTATACTGGTAAGCTTATTTTACGTTACGTTTAATTGAGTTTTGCTACGGCGTGCGGGTTAAGTATTTTAAATACAGGCTCTTGGAGCTTAGGACAACCGGGGATTACCTTAAACCTCGAGTCCTGGATACCTTAACCTCTCTACCTTCCAGACTCCGGTGCCAACACCCAATGCCCCGGCACCCCAGCCAGCCTCACCGATGCTCAGCGAAACCTCGTCCTCCAATGGCACAACCAGCTGAGATCGAGCCTCGCTAAAGGCAACGAGCCCGATGGAGCTGGAGGAAACGCCCCGCCTGCGAAGAGGATGACCAAAATGGTAGCTTAAAAGCCAGTTACTTAAGCATACGGCATTTCCAGACCTACAGCTGCGTAGCCGAGAAGACAGCCCATGAATGGGGAGCCCAGTGCAACTATGATCATTCCACCAACAGGAACAATACTGGGGAGAACTTGTACATGAGCAGTGATAACGTTCAGGATCCGGCTGCTGCTCTTACTGCGGTAGGTGAAGAGAGCGAGACAGAGAGCGAGACAGAGAGCGAGAGAGAAAGAGAGAAAAAGATTTCAAATTCCGATTTCAGGCCTCTCAACTATGGTGGAAGGAACTGGTGCAGTACGGAGTCGGTCCTGACGTCAACCTTACAGATGCCGTCTGGGAAAGAGGTGTTGGGCATTATACGCAGGTACGTAAAAACTTGTGACAATAGGCTTTTCTAACCCTAAACTTTCACTGAATGGCTTTTTTTAGATGGCTTGGCAGGAAACGACTCAAGTGGGTTGCGGATGGATTCATTGCCCTACGTTTACCTACGTCGTCTGCCAGTACAAACCTGCGTAAGTTTGAAAGGCTCTTGCACACACGCTCATCCTCTATTGCATGCTCTCTCCCTACCATACGCTCTAACCTCCGCATTTTAGCGGCAACTACATGTACAAACTGATCTACGAACCCGGATCGGCATGCCAGACCAATGCGGACTGCGGAAGCGGTCGGACCTGTATTGTCGCGGAGGGCTTATGCCAAGTCTAGCACGGCAATTCATCACTTCCGATGATCACTAATATCTGAATGTACAAGACTTTTTCGATGTGGGACATTTATACCTCGTGCATAAAGATCTGTATGGCTCAGTCAAATTGTTCGAAAAGAGCGTAAAAAACTATATTGTACACTTTTGTGTACAAGAGTCGTTTTAATGGTCCTTTTGGTATAACCGCACTTTCTTTCCTCGTCTTTCGCCGAGCATAAATTGGAAGCGGATCAACAGCTAGTCCCCAGGAACGAAAAAAAACGCACGGTTCAATTGAGCGACCCGCTCGTGCAGTCCCAATCCCATTTTGACGAAAGGATTTTAATGCTGTGCAAAAATCGGAAGCTCAACACTTCAAACGCGCGGGCTTGCATGAAAAGACACGATGGGTAGTCTGCTGCCGTTTCTTCATACTATGGTGGTAAGCTATTGCGATGTGCCAAATACCTGAATAGCCTGGATCTCGCATGTTACCATTCTTTCAACGAGGTGTGGTAGTTGCTATGCCACGCCAATAAACTTTAGCATAGCTCTGTTTCAAGAAGAACAATTTAAAAATGAAGACACGAAAAGCTTAAAGCAGATTACCGATTTTTTGGGTGTTTACAGAGTTCGGTAAGACATTACCTTACCCCCCCCCCCCTCACGCAGCCGAAGGATCTCAAAGATTGGGTATTTTCGCTAATTTTGTCGGGATTTTTGCGCCATTCGATACAGCGTCCAAAAATATACTAAGAGTTTTAATTTGAACCTACAATCACGTCAAATAAAAAAAGTTATAGCCAAAAATTTCCGGCTGGGGGGGGGGGAAGTAAAGTGTAGCCCAGAGTTCTTATAATGGGCTTTTGATATACACGCACTTACTCAAAGCGCACGGTTCAATCGAGCGCCCCAGTTCTGCGGTCGTAAGCCCATTTTAACGATGTGCAAAAGTTGGAAGCTCGAAAACGTTCAACGTGCGCCCTGCACCAAAAAGCGCAATGCGCTATCTATTGCCGCTCGTTCAGGCCATTATCGTAAGTTAATATTTGCGTTTCACTGGTTCTATCGCTTTATTTCTAGCTCTCATCGGCGGTCAAGCGCCTAAACCACAAAAAGTGTCATGCTGAGGTCATTTTCGATATAGTGTATTTTACTTTCTTAAAAGTCTAGGTGTCGGACGAGTTCCGATGGACAGCGCTCTACCGCATGAACTTCTACCGCGAAATGCTTGCTCAGGGAATGGCGCCCAACAAAACCGGCATGCTCCCTGGCGCCAAAAACATGTACAAACTTGTAAGTTTGACAAAACTAACGGTCGTAAAATCATCTGCCTGGAACACTTGTTATAAAGTCAAGGTCCTAAATCACTACGCATTCTATCATATTCCGCGTCTGTTTGGTTTGGAGGCGAAAATCCTAGCACATGCGCAACTAGGCCCTTAGGAGGGGGGGCCCAGGGGGCCCTGGGCCCCTCGAAATCTGTCGACGTTCAGAAATCTCATAAGGGGGGACCCTCGTGATTTTGTAGTTACAAAATTCTTTCTGCCTGTGGCGCTGTTTATTACTGTTTTTCTCAAACAGTTTTTACTTATATGAAGCCTATTTTTCCAAAATTTTTTGCCTGCGGCGCTTAGTTTTTCATCGGTGAATCAATTGTTCATAAAATTTTCTGCCTGCGGCGCGTTCCTTCTGCCGTGTTTTCACATGAATTGGAGTATAGGCGAACGCTTATTTGCGATTTTTTAAGCCTGCGGCGCTATTATTGACGCGAATTTCGGGTGTTTTGAAGTGACGACCGGGGGGGGTCGCCAAAATTTTTGGGCCCCCAAATCTCGGTTCCGCTACGGGCCTGTGTGCAACTCACAATTGTCAGAGCCGATGCTTTTAGAGACGGGCGACTGGTTAGGGTGCAGTTTACACTTTTGTATCTAGGCTTCCTGTTTATCTACAGATGTACAAAGTCTGCCAAAATGTTCGCCTTGCTCTGGCGAGTGTTTTGGTGTACTTTACTACCCCATACCATAACACAGAGCCGAGATAGGGTAGGTGAAGTCGACTAAAGGCTGGGGGAGAATACACTTCGGCCGGGCGACTTTCATACTGACTGTCTCGCACCCGAAGACTTATAAGACAAGAAACTTACAAGAAAAAAGAGAGCAAGACAATTTATTACTAAAACAACAGACGACATAATGATAAGTAGTGGGCTTAGCAGCCGGGGAAAAGTGGAAAACAGAAGTTCAGAAGCGCTCTGTCGGGGAAAGGATGGACGCACAGAGGACCGGAGAAGGGATTATTGCATCGTAGTGCGATCGCGTAAGCTAATAAGTGTCGGCTCTTCTCTTCTCTCTTCTCTTCTCTCATGGGGACCAGGATTTTAGGCCGACGATTCTTAAGTCTGTGGTTTCAAGACGGGTGATTTTGCTTTCAGAGCAAGCTATGCGTGTATTTTGAAAAATTCCTCTCATAATGTCATCCCTTTCAGTTGTACGACTGCGCGCTTGAAGACATCTCATATAAAGTCACCTCAGTTTGCGCAAGCAACTTAAAATACGATCCCAATGGCATCATTTATGGGTAAGGAAGCCTACTAACTTTATGTTGTCGCATTACTGCCGTTCGTAACCAAAACAAGGAAAGGACCGGTCAAAATGACATGCTTCAGTGCTATTCATTGAGGCTTTTCACACTAAGCTTTCAGCGCGCCCAGCTCGGCACCGAAATCGGCCGCATCAGCGCCTGACTATCTGAGTGAGACCATCAGTGACCACGTCAGAGACACCCAGTATGACGGGCTTGCAGCTGATGTAAAGGTGGACTGGTACACCACTTATTGGACAATGGTAATGGCTTAATTCTACAAGAGCAAACACAACGTCTATGCCCGGATTTGACTTGGCCTTTCATGAAAGCACTAGCGGGTCTTGAAATGTAACCAAGCCTATTTTAGACCGAATTTCTCGCTAATTAAGACGCACCTTCCAGACTCTTCGAGACGACCGTATCTAACAAGTTACGAAGCTTTAAAGCGCAAGAAATGTCGAAAACCACCTACTTTGGCCGTTTTTCGCCTTCTAAAGCTTCGTAAGTCCTTTCATGTGGTCGTTTCGCAGCTTCTAAGACGTAGTTTTCAATCAGCGAAAAATTCTGCACAAAATAGGCTTGGTACCATTTCGAAACACCTTGGACAATAAAAAAACGTCTCCTTGGTAGTGGGCGACAGGAAAGAGGACTCGTGTCGGATGTTCCTACAAGATGGACTGCAACACAACTGAATCGATGAAGAGCTCGGAGCCCTATTTTTACCACTTTGTATGCACCTTTGATACTGAGTGAGTTCCACGGACTAGTAAAACATGCGACTGGTGTTTTTGTTAGGCCCGCGGCTGTGGGAGAACCTGCGTATGATGTAGGCCCAAAGTGCACACAGGATTCCGAGTGCACCACTTATCCGGGAAGCATCTGCGACGTCGGCAGAGGGCTCTGCGAATTTTATGGTAACGGAACTTCGCTTGAACGCCCTGGCAATCCCTCCAACAACGATTTAATCTAGGAGACGCAATGAACATACAATGCCCTGGCAACATGTCCGACATGATTGATCCTCAGCGGACACTTGTAGTCAATATGCACAACAAGTTGAGATCGAGCCTGGCCAAGGGCAACGAGTCGGATCTTTACGGTTGGGGAAAGGCCCCGTCAGCCAAGAGGATGACAAAAATGGTGAGGCAAAAAAATCCTACCTTATATAACATTCGAAAGTCTGTGAAACGGAGAGTTTGCAACCATCTGACCGGTTTGCAACCATGCTTTGACTTAAATGCGCTTTTCGACAAGCCCTTATAAAGTGTTGCAGTTTTCGGGGTCGCATACGCGCTAATTTGCCTCAATGTCTCCAAGCAAAATTACCGAAAGTTGCCGTCAATTAGATGCAGAAGCCGGCCGCTGATGTTTTTGTATTCGCTATAAAATAACGTGTTTAAATGAAGACTATGGCTATGAAGATTGATACGAACTCGCCGTTTCAAGGGCTTTCGAATGGTATAATATTACCATCCGATGCTTCTCCATCGAGTCATAGGGGTGTCTTTTAATGGACACCTGGTACTATCATACGATCTGTTTGCACTCCGGAAACGATTTTATTCATTGATATTTAAACAGGAATCACGATTCCATAGATTTAGATCTTGTTTCCAGAAGTACAACTGTGAGGCGGAGAAGTCGGCGCACGAATGGGCGGCCCAATGCCAGGTAGCCCATTCGTCAAACAGGAATAAAACCGGCGAGAACTTGTACTTTAAATTTGATAACCAACAGGAGCCGGGTGCTGCACTTACAGCGGTGAGTTCTTGCAATCCCCAATTTGTCTCCGTTTGTGCTCGTATTTCAAAATGAGGAACGTCCGTCTTAGGCGATGCAACAGTGGTGGGGAGAGCTCGCGCAATATGGCGTCGGTCCGGAGCCCAACCTTACAGATTCGGTCTGGCAAAGGGGAGTCGGGCATTATACGCAGGCGAGTGGAGGATGGGCTATAGAGTTGTGCTTCCAGATGGCCTGGCAGGAGACGACTGAAGTAGGATGCGCATGGGCCCACTGCCCTGACTTCACCTACGTCGTCTGCCATTACAAACCTGCGTAAGTTTCTCTTTTTCTCTTCCTCTCTCTTCCCTCTCTCTCTCTTTCTCACTTTATCTCTACTTTTCAGCGGCAACTATATGAACGAATTGATCTATGAGCGCGGAACGCCCTGCCAAACTGATGCGGATTGTGGAAGCGGACGGACATGTCTGGTCGACGAAGCATTGTGTCAAGTGTAGTGCAGCGAAAATCTGGAATTTCGATTAGACCTGACGAATAAAATAGCTCGATGTCTGACCAAAAATACAAAAGATCATTAAATCAAGGCAGACCAAGGCAGATATCAGGGCATCAGAAATAAAAACGCAAAAGTTCAGCTTTTTTGCACTTTGGGAACATACTTTTCTAATATTTCACCGGTCAAAAATCGAAGCGAACAAATAATTGGCACGTTTCCATGAGCGGAACCAAAGGTTTGTTTCGGCTTGTTCCACAACGTGCCTAACCCGCTTTTAACGAGCCGCCCGCGCAAAAATCAAAAGCCCACAAACTACAAACGTGCGCTCTGCGCCAAAAAGCAAAATGTACTATTTATTGTCGTTCCTCCCGGCTATTATGGTAAAGTTATATACTTTTTCTAAAGCCTTGGTTCAATTCAGCCTCTCCTTCGCTTCGCTGAACATATTTACTTTTAGCTAACAGCCGCAGCGCAGATCAGCAACGCTAGCAAATGCCATGCCGAGGTGTTTTTTGGATATTTCAGGGCTGATGTTCCCGCTTAACGATAAACTACTTACTAAGATCAGGAGCCCAGGTATCCGACGAGTTCCGACAGACCGCACTGTACCGCTTCAATTTCTACCGCGAGATGCTAGCCTACGGAATCGCACCCAACCAGACCGGCGCGCTGCCCGGTGCCAAGAATATGTATAAACTTGTAAGTTTTCGCACAATTAGTAGCTTTAAAAATCCGTAGAAAAGTTTTCCATAAGCGCAATTCCTTTCCAGACATACGACTGCGCTCTTGAACATGTTGCTTATAAATTTACCTCCAGATGCGCCAGGCTAGGTCCTTGGCCCAAAAAATGCCATCGTTATGTCGTAGGTTTTTTTGGCTGAGTCTCTTTTTGGTTTCTATGTTATTCTGGTTCATAATCTTTTTATAAGCAAGTTAATAATTTTTTCAATTTTTTGAGAGCTATAAAATATGCCATAAAGTCACCCAACCAAGACCAAATTTTTTTAGCGCAATGTATTTGGATCGCAAAACGCTCGCCTCGGCCCCAGATATCTTGACTGCTATGATAACAGGGCATATTAAAGAAGCACAAACTTATGGGGTTGCTGCTGAAGCGAAAGTTACGATCAATACCATTAATTGGGGACAGGTGAGTGTAGCTTGAATCGTTCAAGTAAAAACGCAGTACGATCTTAGTACGCAACCGGAAGGAGGACACGCGTCGGCTGCTCTTACCGGATGAAGTGCCGAGCAAAAAAATCCGATGCGTCCCTTTCGATATTATATGGCTTGTGTTTTTGATACGAGGTAAGTCGGAGGCTTCAACCGCAGCCGTAAAGCACACGTTTAGCGCCTCGAGTTATGGAGATCCTGCTTACGAAGCCGGCTCTAAATGCGCTCAGGATTCCGATTGTACGACGTATCCAGGAAGCAGTTGTGATGCAGCCAGGGGGCTATGCGAGTATGATGGTAAGCTGCCAAACTTCACCCTCAAAATTCGTTTTCGATCTCCTTATCACCCAAAAGTCCCCTATTCTAGGAACAGTGATTAACCCGCAATGTCCCAAGGCCGCTTACAGCCTAACCGGCACTCAACGTGATCTCGTCGTCAACACTCACAACCAGCTGAGATCGAGCCTGGCCCTGGGCAACGAGCCCGATCGTGCTGGGTTCAATGCCCCGCCGGCCAGGAGGATGACCAAGATGGTAGGTTCAATAGGTTCGCAAGACTTTACGTAGGGTCTGATTTTAGAGGTACAGCTGCGAGGCCGAGAAATCGGTCTACAAATGGACGACGCCATGTCCCGCTTCAGATTTTCTAAAGCGAAACAATACCGGCGAAAATACGTACTATAGGGCCGGTTACGTGGAGCCGGTTGATGCACTGAAGGAGGTAGGCAAAAAGAAAGCGCGCGCGAAAGAGGGAGAGAGAGGAGAGAGAGGAGCAAGAGTGAGAGAGTGAGAGAGCGAGAGAAAGAGGGGGAGAGATACCGTTTTAGGCAATGCAACAATGGTGGGGCGAATTAACGCAATATGGCGTTGGACCTGACGTAAATCTGACGGATGCCGTTTGGCAAAGAGGTGTTCAGCATTATACTCAGGTGAACTGAGATGAAGCCCGTGTTAATTTTGCCTTCAGATGGCCTGGCAAGAAACCACCGAAGTGGGTTGCGGTTGGGCATATTGCAATGGCTTCACCTTCGTCGTCTGTAAATATAAACCGGCGTAAGTTACAGAAGAGTGGTTTCCCTCTCTCCCTCTCTCTCTCTCTCTCTATCTCTCTCTCATTCTCTCCCTCTCCCCTACCACCTAATTTTTAGTGGTAATAACATGAATCAACTCATATACGAGCCCGGACCGGCCTGCCAAACTGATGCGGATTGCGGAAGCGGACGAATATGTTTAGTGGATGAAGCCTTATGCCACGTACAGCCCTGATGAAATTGTATCTCTATTATGTATAAATTATTCCACAAAAACCACATGAATAATCAGCATTAAAGTATATTTTTTTACAAAATCGATCTGACCTCTCCGCAGACCAAAAATTGAAAGCAGATTAGCAGCTAGTTGCCAAGAACGGAACCAAAGGTCCACTATAGCTTTGTTCCACACTCCGGTTAACCCGATTTTAACGAGCCGACCGTGGAAATATCGGAAGCTCAAAAACCCTTTACACGTGCGCGCGGCGCCTAAAAGGTTTGATGGGCTGCTTACTACCTTATATTCAGGCAATAGTGGTAGGTTTTATCGATTTGGCAACATTTTCCAGTCTTAAAATTGCTATTTTTGCTGCCAATTAATATTTTTATAGCTTTCATCATCCATGAAGTTAAGTGATGATAAAAACTGCCGTCCAGAGGTAATTTGGTTGTTTATTAGCTCCGATACTCGCTATACCATTAGGTGACGGAAGACTTCCGAACCGCAGCGGTGGAACGCCTGAATTTATATCGTCAAATGTTGGCCCAAGAAATGGCTCCAAATAAGGACGGGTGGCTGCCGGGGGCGAAGAATATGTACAAAATCGTGGGTGTTCGAGCGAGAGAAAGAGAGAAAGAGAGAGAGAGAGAGAGAGAAAGAGAAAGTAGAGAGACAGAGAGAGAGAGAGAGCGAGAGTGTGAGAGAGTGAGAGAGAGGAGAGAGAGAGAGAGAGAGAGAGAGAGAGAGAAAAGAGAGAGAGAGAGAGAGAGAGAGAGAGAGAGAGAGAGAGAGAGAGAGAGAGAGATCGAGAGAGATGTAGAAGAGCACTTAGCCATTCTAGTGGTACGACTGCTCCCTCGAAGACATCGCGTACCAATTCACGTCTACGTGCGGAAAATTGGCAGTTACACCTCCGAACACCGTTTGGATGTCGTGAGTACCACAGAACCCTTAAAGTTAAAGCTAAACATACTGCCAGAAAATTAGCTCGCACCGAAAGTCCAATCATCCACAAAAATCAATAACTTTCAGCGGATACTTGGCCCTAGACGACATTTCGCGGCTCCCAAGTATACTCCAATCGATGATGCGTTATTATATAGCTGAAGCGACAACAGTTGGGTTTGCTGCTGACTGGGTGAACGTTTCGACGGAGACCAGTTCTTGGGCAGAAGTGAGTATCCGGACATGCGCTACAGTTGGCACAAATTTACGTAGGTCGTAATTATAACCTCAACTTTGGGTTTGCTAGTTAATCCAGGGTAGTTAGAATTGAGCAAAAATCTGTTTTCAGCTAGCAACGGGACGCCGCACCCGTGTCGGCTGCGCGTATAATTTGAACTGTCCGGCTCTCGGATACCTAATGGCCTGCGTTTTTGACACGAGGTAGGAGCGGCTTTTATAATGGGTGTCTTTCTCAATCCCGAAACGTTCCGAATTCAAACTTCGAATAGCGTGTTCCGGGACAGGGATTTGGAAAGCTTGCTTTTTGTTCAGGGCCGCCGACATTGGAGAGCTAGCATATCAAGTTGGCGATGGCTGCGCAACCGATTCGGATTGTACCACGTATCCGGGAAGTAAATGTGATGCCGCTAGAAGTCTGTGCGAGTACAAATATAGTGGTACGTAGAAGCGTCGATTTCTGTGTTTCCATTACCTTCAATTTTTGGAACAAAAAATACTGAATGCCGGATTTTGTCAGAATACACATTTTCCATTTTCTTCGCTCGAATATTTTACATTTTCGTAAGGCTATGTTTCCAGATACGAGGGTTAGCTCGAAATGTCCTGGCACGACATCAATGATGACGGATGCGCAGCGCGACCTCGTGCTCGACTGGCATAACCATTTGAGATCAGGCTTAGCAAGAGGCGTTGCTGACGTTGCCTTCGGCTATGCTCCAACGGCAAAGAGGATGACCAAAATGGTGGCTAAAAATTCAAATCTTACCTTTTTACTCACTCTAGACGTATAGTTGCGAGGCGGAGAAAACTGCATATGAAGTGGCTTCTCGATGCTATTATTCTCAATCCACGAATAAGGGAGAAAATGTGTATATTAACAGCTTTAGCTATCAAGATCCGGCTGACGCGCTCAATGAGGTAAATTACGTAGCGCTGCTTAATTCTTCAGATGACATTTTGGCTGTGAAAGCGTTTTTAACTTGAAAATTTTTGAATTTTTCAAGATTAAGAAGTTTTTTGAATTTAATGCTTAATTTTTATTTCTTTTTTCAGGGCTTCTATTATCTCAAAAAGTTGCAAGAACGCTAAAATTTTTTAATTAATTTTTTTCAGGCCATTCAAGGCTGGTGGAAGGAGTCTAGCTCCGTGAGCAGCATGAGTTTCCCAAACCTCACCGATTCCACGTTGATATCCGCACGACACTTTAGTCAGGTGAAAATCTCAGACAATTACCTTGGGTGTTCGCATGAAGTTCACCTACTTTCCAGCTTGCCTTTTCTTTATGTATCTTTAGTTTTACTTAACTTTAGCCGCTTAACGCGTCGATTTCTTTAAGATGGCGTGGCAAGAAACAACCGAAGTTGGCTGCGCTTGGGCTCATTGCGTCAGTTTTACCTACGTTGTCTGTCATTACCGCCCGCCGTAAGTTATCTATTTATCTACTATTTTTTTATTCTATGTGCAACGCGATATCGATATAGCCTAATATTTTTCAGAGGAAATGAACTGTATCGGCTCGTCTACGAACCCGGACCGCCTTGCAAAACAGACGCAGATTGTGGAAGCCGAAGAAAATGTCTTGTGAATGAAGGCCTATGCCAAGTATTACAAAATTAAATAAATGACCGCAAAAAATTTGTAGGATTGATAAAAATAAATTTAAAAACCACGTCAAACTATTATTGACATACTATGGATACACCCCGCAAATAACTCAGAGAGGAAGCGAAATGTAACAGGAACACGAAGCACAACCGCAGCCAAAACCAATAAAACAAACAAGCATGTATATGCTGAAAAAAGCGTAGGGTGCCGGCAGCCGTGCCAAAGCCATTTTTAGCCCGCTTGCCGGCGCGGCGTGCCACGGCACGGTTGCGCCGCCCGACATTCGGCAGCCGCGCCGATTGTGTGCTGGCAGCCGCGCCATTGGAAACAGAGTAGTTTTGGCTCGGAAGTTTTGGCCGGATAGTTTTGGCTCGGATAGTTTGGCCGGAAGTTTTGGCTCGGATAGTTTTGGCTCGGATAGTTTTGGCTCGGATAGTTTTGGCTCGGATAGTTTTGGCTCGGATAGTTTTGGCTCAGATAGTTTTGGCTCGGATAGTTTTGGCTCGGATAGTTTGGCTCGGATAATTTCGGCTCGGATAATTTCGGCTCGGATAATTTCGGCTCGAAATTTCGGCTCGGAAGACCAATGGAAATGCGATAAGATCGAAAATTGGTAATTTAGGCCAAAAACCTTTCGTCTAAAATGCATTTTTTTGATTCCGTGGGAAGTTTTGGCTCGGATATTTTGGCTCGGATAATTTCGGCTCGGATAATTTCGGCTCGGATAGACCAATGGAAATGCGTATAAGAAGGTCGAAAATTTGGTAATTTAGGGCCAAAAAAATCCGTTTTTCGTCTTAAAATGCATTTTTTTTTGATTCCGTGGGATAGTTTTGGCTCGGATAGTTTTGGCTCGGATAATTTCGGCTCGGATAATTTCGGCTCGGATAGTTTTGGCTCGGATAGTTTCGGCTCGGATAGTTTCGGCTCGGATACAGGGTGTGTAAAAAAAAAGACCACAGTTTGGGTCGAAATAACCCGAACAGAAACGAAGATACGTTACCATGCCAGAATGCTAAATATGCGGGCATGAAGATTTAACACAACTTGATTTTTTCGATTTTTGAGTACGAAACTGTACTATTGACGCTGGTTACGACCGAAAATGGTGCGTTCTTGAACGAGAGGTGGGAAAATTCTGATTTTTGGCTTAAAAAAAATATAAATTTTTAAAAATGTAATGGCAAAATCCTAGAATTTATCGAGGCAAATTCATTTTTTAAAAGCAAAACAATTTTCGCGATTTTGCGTTATTTTTGTTCTTTGGGTCATAACTCACTTTAACTCACGCCCATGGCTGATTTTTGCCAATGGCCACCAAACACAATATCGGATCCACACCATATTCCACCACAACTATGGTATTTTGTATTGTGCAAAACCCCCAGCGGGGTACTGTAGGTTTCGTTTTTCCCGCTTTTCTCGGGGCCCCAGCTTCGATTCGGCTAAAATTTTCTGGGTTGTTAGGCAAAAGTAGGGGCACCTTACTGCCAAATACGAAAGCGACTACCACAAACTTCATGAAAAAGACTAAAAACAGATTTTTTAATTCTGCGGCAGAATTTTGTAAATTTTTGGTCAATTGGTCCAAAACTGCTACATTGCTTTACGAAAGGATCGAAGCGATTCCATGGCAAAACACCACGAAAACGCAAATTTCGGTTTTCACAGAAACCCACGGGAGCGCGTTAGAGCCACACAAAATTCCAATACTGACGATTTTTCAAGTCGAGGGCCTCTAGAGGTGATGTAAGATAGCCTGTCAAAAATTACTGAGTTTTGGTGGTAATAACAAAGTTTCGAGGCCAGAAAACAAGGCCAGAGCCGATTTTGGTCCGAGTAGACGGGGTCAATTTCGAATTTTTAAAAAGAAAAAAACCAGCTGGGTCTTATGGATACGATTATAGTTTTGATGTTATTATCTACGCCCTCAAATTTGGGGCAACTGATCATGATCATGGTGACTTTCAGCTCAAAATCGAAGACACCCTATTCCAAGATCGAAGTTTAGAAATCTTCTTAACATTTTTGCGACGCGAAATTGCTTTAATCTTTGCATAGTTTTATTCAGACATGACAAGTGGCCGCGGCCCGGCCCGGCCGGCCCGGCCGTAGCTACCCATGGCCGGCCGCGGCCGGCCGGCCATGTTCTTAAATCTTCATGCCCATCATATTTAAGCATTCTGGCATGGTAACGTACCTTCGATTCTCTACCGTTCGCGAGTTATTTCGACCCAAACTGTGGCCTTTTTTTTGCACACCCTGTAGAGAGCGAGAGAGACTGAGCTACTGAGAGAAAGAGAGCGAGAGACAGAGGGGGGGGAAAGAGAGAGAAAGAGAGAGAGAGCGAGAGAGAGAGCGAGAGAGAGTGATAATTTGAACTTCCGGGTCCTAGAGTCCTACAAATTGGAACGGGCTTACCGGTGAGCTGGCAGCCGAACCGAAAGTTCGGTGCAGCTTTGGACAACACTCTACCCCAAACTCAATTTTACGAGCCGTCCACCAAATCGAGCGACTAGGAAGGGTTAAAGGTCCGTTCAGTCTATATTCACACATTATGGTATGCGTGCTACCCTATCTTCAGGCGATGATGGTAAGTTTAAGGCATTTTTCCGCCCTTCCGGAGCAATTTCGAAACGGTTGGCAAAGTTTAGCTCTCATCCAGCATCAAGGCGAGCGATGAAAGCAAGTGCCATAGCGAGGTAATTTTGAATCATTTGTAAAAATTATTTAAGGAATTTTGCAGTCTCTAAAATATAAGATTCTGTGATTACGGCTTCGCCAAGAGGTATCTGATGACTTTCGATGGGCGGCAACCTACCGCATAAATTTCTTCCGAGAAATGCTGGCTAATGGAATGGCGCCGAATGCGACCTGGACGTTGCCAAGTGCGAAAGATATGTACAAAATTGTGGGTTTTGAGAGAGAGAGAGAGAGAGAGAGAGAGAGAGGGAGAGTCGATTTTAGTACTACGACTGCGCCCTCGAAGATACGGCCTACCAATTCAGCTCCAATTGCGGAAGAAACGGAATCTTCACCGATAATGCCCTCGTAGCTACGTAAGTGCAGCCACGTAAAACCCAAAAAAACCCGCAAAAACATGAAAATGAACTGCGTAAAATGGATCAAATGTCAGGAAATGTATTACGCAATTTAGCGGAGCACAATCGACTCCGATTAACGCTACAGTAACCCTGACGACGCTTATAAGCGAACACATCAAACATGCAGAGATTGTCGGGATTGACGCTGATGTTAAGATCACTCGAGAAACCGTCGATTGGGGGAAGGTAGGTGGAGAGAGAGACAGCGAGAGAGCGGGAGAGAGAGAAAGAAAGAGTGAGAGAGTGTGAGAGAGTGAGCGCGATGCAGAGAGAGAAAGAAAGATATTTGAGACTGATTTTCAGTACGCAACCAGCCACCGAACGCGGGTCGGTTGCTTCTACAGGACTGACTGTCCTACAACGGACCCAGCATACTCTTATGGACACTAGATTGTGTGTATTTTTGATACGTGAGTTACCTTAAACTTGCGAAATTCCATACCTTCCAGACCGTCTCTAATGGGAGACCCGGCGTATGAGGGTGGAAGTGGGTGCAAAAAAGATACGGATTGCACGACGTACCCCGGGAGCACCTGTGATGTGCTAAAGGGGTTATGCGAGTATGAATATTTTGGTAAGGATTTCGGCTTAGCCTTAGGCCTCGGGCTTTGGCTTCGGCTTAGCCTTATACCCAGTAAAACCATCATGTGTCAGACTCCGGTTCGAGTCAGCAATGCCCGGGACCCAAATCCAAGGTGACGGATGCCCAGCGTGACCTCGTGCTCGGCTGGCACAACCTGTTCAGATCGAAACTTGCCAAGGGGAATGCTCCAGATAAAGATGGAGGAAATGCCCCGCCGGCCAGAAGGATGACCAAAATGGTATCAGTCGTAGCTAGCACTTACCTCTAATTTTTAGAAATACAGCTGCGGGGCCGAGCAGTCGGCCCAGGAATGGGCCTCTGAATGCAAATTCGGATCGTCACCGGATCGGAAAGATACGGGAGAGAATGTTTTCTCTATAGATGACAATGCTACTGATCCAGAGAGTGCGATTATTTCGGTAGGTCTCTCTCCTTTCCCTCTCGCTCGTTCTAGCTCTCTGTTTCTCTCGCTCTCTCTCTCACTCTCTTTCTCGCTTTCTCTCTCTCGATTTCTGTTTCAATTTACCATCTGAATTTTAGGCTGTAAAACTGTGGTGGAGCGGATTAGAGGATAGGGGCGTTGGACAAAATCTCACGCTTCCGGAGACGTTTTACTCTGATGAAATTTCTCACTACACGCAAGTAAGCTTCAGCTCCAAACACACACAAAGCGCTTGCTCAGATGGCCTGGCAAGAGACGACCGAAGTTGGATGCGGCTGGGCGCACTGTTCGACGTTTACTTACGTCGTTTGTCACTACAAGCCTGCGTAAGTTAGGATCATCAGATATCTTTCGCTCTCGGCTCTCGCTCTTGCTCTTCTCTCTCTCTCTCTCTCTCTCTCTCTCTCTCTCTCTCTCTCTCTCCCTCTCGCTCTCTCTCGGTTTACTAGTCTAGTTTAGTGGCAATCAGGTCGGCCAGCTGATCTACGAACCCGGGTTTGCCTGCCAAATTGACGCAGATTGCGAAAACGGCCGGGCTTGTCTTCCTAATGAAGGTTTATGCCAGTTATAGGATGTGCATAAAGGTGTATCGTTGTTCGCTTAAGTGGATAACTTGGGTATAACAGCTGCTACGGTTCAAAAACAATGCCAAAAACAGACAGAGAAACATTTTTGCGTTTCTGAGAATCTCACGTGGAAATACAGAAAAGCCAACCTTGAAGCAGTCAGCCAAAGGTTGACGGGCTGACCCGAGGGCCAACCTGGTGATTATCGTGTTAGGGAAGGTTCAGATGATGGTCCTGACACCATTCCCCAGGGTTCCAATCACAGAGTTTTGCGTTCTTTGGTGTCGGCATGGTCTCTAGAATATTCTTGACGATTTTTAGACTTACTACCCTATTAGAATTAGTATATGCTTGTGCTCCAATGGCCGGGATCGGCAGTTCGAAAGGTACGTAGAATTTTCTAAATCTAACTGATGTAACTCGACTTATCTTGATGATTTTGTAGCTGAACCACTTGTTCTGTTTTTAATAAAATCGACATTGAAAACATTTGGCAATAGTGCTTAATTAAACTAAAAAGATTTATTTTTTTCTCTTTCAGGATGTCAACAATGCACCGCAGCCATGCTGACAAAAGACCCAGCGTCTCCGCCAAATGTGTTTGCTATTACTAGTGATGAGGTAAACTGTGTCCTTGTTATTGACCCTTTAGTCAAGTTTTGTATCAAAAATCCTTTCTTAATTTCAGATTTTCCGAGACACAACTGGCTGCTTGAGGAGGAGGTTGACTTGTACGTCACCAGACGCTGGTGATAGTATGATTTTGCAGGTAACATCACCATTTTTTCTAAAATTTTGGGACTGATAGGAATTTTCTTCTTTTTTCTAATTATAAATCATGCCTATGTAATTTAAAATATTGTATAAGTTAATTTAGTGGGACGCTGGTGCTCAAGGGACAACGCAAGGAGCCGCCGGAACCTCATCAGTTTCCGATACCCTGACTTGCGCTGGGAATGGGCAACAATGGCTGGTTACACATCAGGTAAATAGTAATTAATGGTACAACACGGATTATACAATTTATAAATTATTCTTTTTATTGGGGAAAACTGAAATAAGCTACATTTGTAATTTGCATAAATCTTTCAAAGATTTATTTTTCGAAGGAGAATGTAATCTTCAATTCGTTCAATGTCCAGACGCAAATTAGTTCTTTGCCAAAGACAATAAAAGATTATTTTTATTGCATTTTCTATAGTTTATTTCGTAAAATCCAGTGCCTACAGTAAGCACCCTCCCATTTGGCAAAAAAAATAGTGAGGCTAGTTCTAGCCTTTTCGGAACTCCGATACTGTTTTATCGAGGCGTAGCTGATGCAACTCAAGTACCGGGGGGATCAGCTCCTAATTAGATGTCATCTCAAAGCTTTGTCTAGCTACGATACAGTACTTTGTAGCTTCATGGCTATTTTTTTCATTTTAGGACGGCGGTCAAAGCGGTGTCAGCCGGGTCGAATGTTCGGTGGAAGCGTAACGTCTGGCCGGCTACCAAACGCGTCAAATGTCGAGCCAACAACTCGATAAAGATCTGTGTTGCTTTTTTTGAAAAATTCTCTCTCTCTCTCTCTGTCTCTCTCTCACTCTGTCTCTTTCTCTTTCTTCTGCTCTGGGATGATCACGACAAATTTGTGTCATTTTGTGTACCCTGTGTTGCTTGAATAGAGGCGCAACTTTCTGCTCCCTGCAGTTTGTTTCTCATCACTTTCGTCGACTATTTATACGCATTTTGGGGGTTGTTTTCGTTATATGTTTTTTGAATAAATCTTAGTTGCGTTTTGCCAGCTGTATTATTTTTAATAATTAGTTAATATGCTCATTAAAATTCGATCCCCCACGCACGGATTTTGGCCTCCGAGCCCCTTTAAATACTTTTTTTGAAGAATTATTTACCACCCAAAATTCATTTCTCATTCCTTCTATACCTACCGGATCGTCCATTCCGATCGCGATCACATTACACCCCACGTTTCACCCAGGTCCCTCAGCGGGTTCCATCTTTTTGCCCTTTCCCCGTTCTTTAGGTGGTCCTCTTTTTCCCCACATTGCCCTCAAAAATGAGCGATTATCCATCCGTGGGGCTTGAAACATTTGGCCCCTACCCCCAACGCCATACCACTCCAACAATTACCCCGAGATTTGGCGTCTTTTTGCTAGGATTTAAATGCGGGGATTCCACTGGTAAAATAGACCCCCTGAAGTTCGAGATTCACGACTTTTTGCGGCTCAACTGCATAGCCGGGCGTGGTAGGTCGTTACCGGCAGCTCCCGCCATTTTTTGCCTCCCGTTTTTGCGTACTTATCGCGCAAATTGTGGGGCGTATAAAGTGTGTGCAACGACGAAACAGCGCTACAGTACTCTAGATATGATGGGTCTAAATATCGCGTTTTTCGTCAGTTAGTTTCAAGTTTTCAATAGGTTAGGGTCATTAATTTTTATAATTTTTCTAGGATGCAACTTTTTATTAGAGCTGCGGTCTTACGGTAGCTACCGACGCACAAGAACTTAAAATTTTAAGGCGGTGAATTTGACGATTTTTAGTGTTTGGTTTCGATGGGTAAATCAAAGTAAAGCGTTTTCCTTAAAGCCATCGTTCTTAAAAATTTTCTGCTAGTTGCCGACTAGCGTCATTTTTTACGCACAATTTTAGTTATATAGCTGTGCTAGTCAGAATACCTCAGAATTTATGGTATTTTTAGGGCCGGCGAACGGCCTGTATTTCACGGTAATTGGATACTTGATTTTGCCACATCAATTTCATTACTTTTACCGTCCAATATTCCAAATGCCAAGGTTCTATGAGATTACAAATTTGTTAAGCAAGGCATCTAAAAATTTATAATGTTAGGTTTCGGCCTTCGACTGCCTGGACGTGACTTTCCTCTTTTTACAGTACCCCAATACCCATTTCAAAATTCCTCCATCCGTCAAAACAGGCAGTAACTCACCCGAGATGCGTATCTTGCCAAGGATCCAAGAGTTCTTTTGCATGTTCTGGCGTTCAGCGCATTAGTGACACCCCCAAGTGACGCCTAATCTTGACATGAATCGGTCCGCAGATCCGAGTTTTGGGAAAAGAAATGAAGAAATGGCAGCCAGCGTTTTGTTGGGGAAAAATATTGGCTGTGAAAAAGTAGTCCGACTCGTTCCTTACCTACCGGTATGGTTATCTCAAAAAAAATGAGGGTTGGACGGTACTTATAAAGCTCAAAATCTGAGCCATAGATACTGTAGGTCGACTTGAAAGTACCGTCCCTTCTGGAAATTTTGAACTTTTTATGAAATGCGCTTTAAACTCACTAACTAAGACTCAAAAACATCCTTGACATGGACTCCAAAATTAGCAAAAAAACCATAGAGAACTTAAGATTTTATTGCATTGGCTAGAAGCATTACATAATTTTTACTTTCTTTTTAATTCCTTAAAATTCTTTCGTTAAAGGTATGTTTTTTAAGACAATTTTGGGATGCTAAAATTGAGTGTAGTTTAATGATTCCATTTTGCAATAGGAAAATTAGCATATATAATGTTTGCATAATTTCCTTAAGACCCATTAAAGCCCAAAAATCTGGTTCTACTCCATTCGGAACCCGGAAATCCAAACATCATGCGCCTTCTCCTCGTCCCTAGAAGGTAGTTACGCAACGTTTTTTCGGATTTCAGTGATCGCTCGCCAATTCTGCACTTTTTCCACCCAAAACCCGATTACGCGTTGCGCACACAACCCGGCGTAAAAAATACCGGAAAAGGGAAATGCGTGGTTCAGGCGAGGCGCCTGACCATGCTCAAGCCCATTTTAACGGGCCACGCATAGGTGTGGCGCGGAAATCCGGGCGTGGGAAAACTGTAAAAATGACATAAAACGGAATGGTAATAAAATAAAGTACCGTTGGGTTTTGAAATTTTCAGTTTTCAAAATTTTCAAGAAGGGTTTTGTATGTTAAAAACTATTTTATATTTCAGAAATTTCGGCTACGGTTTACTTTACCCCCCCCCCCAGCCGGAAGTTTTTGGCTATAACCTTTTTTATTTTACATTATTGTAGGCTCAAATTAAAACTCTTAGTATATTTTTCGACGCTCTATCGAATGGCGTTGCAAAAATCCCGACAAAATAAGCGAAAATACCGACAACTTTGAGACCCTTCGGCTGTGGGGGGGGTAAAGTTTAAACTCTTAAACCGAAATTTCGATTCCATCAATTATCATAAAAAGTCTTTAATCTTGTCATTGCAATTATTTTTTGATCTTTTCTTCTTTTTCAATTTTTTTAATTTTTCTCCAAAAACTAAATAGCTTCATTTTCTAGGTACTTCTCCCTGTCCTCCCTCAAGATGGTGTGCGAGCGGGTGAAGGTCGACGACGTCTGGATGGATGCCCAGCCGCTGGGGCAGAAGCTGAAGTTCCCGAATGGACGGGCCGCCCCGAATCGGCTTTTGAAGGTATGCCCAGGTCGAGCAGTTCAAAACAGCCTCAAAATAGCCATTCGTGCACCTATATTTATCGTTGCTTGGCTTCACCATCCCTTTCACCCATAACTCCTAGTCGGCGATGACCGAGAAGTTGGCCAGGTTCAGCGAGGATCTGGCTGAACGCGGCACCCCCACCCCGCAGCTCGTCAACCTCTACGAGAAGTTTGGGCACGGCGGATGGGGGTTGATTTTGACCGGGAATATCATGACGCATCCGGTAAGAGAGTAAGAAAGAGAGAGCGAGAGAGAGAGAGAGAGAGGGAGGGGGGGGGGGGGGGGGGGGGGGGGGGGGGGGGGGGGGGGGGGGGGGGGGGGCAAGCAGGATCATCGACATCTCCAGACAAACCTCGAAGCGGCCGGCAACGTCGTCGTCTGCAAGGAGAACGACAACCCGAATTTCCACGGCATGTTGCGCTACATGGCCCAGGCAGGACGATCGAAGGGAGCATTGATGATTGCTCAAGTCGGAAATGTAAGTAGACCAAGCTATCGTTAGTGAATCTACGCATTAATGGCACCCTGATGGTAGCCACAGATTTGCATTTCGATACCTTTTCAGGCCGGCCGCCAAACCCCGTACGCCATCAACCCGAGCCCCATGTCGGCGTCTGATGTTCAATTGGTTTTCCCCGCCGGGACCGGGATGCGATTCGGGAAACCACAGCCCCTGACGACTAGTGAGGTTGGAAGATATCTCGTAGTATCTAAAAAAAATTAATTTTAGATCAAGACCGAGGTGATCGATCGATTTGTGTACGCCGCGCAGGCCTTGAAGAATGCCGGTATGTGGAGAGTGAGCGAGACAGAGAGAGAGAGAGAGAGAGAGAGAGAGAGAGAGTGATAATCAAAGAGAAATGAAGATATTTACAACAATTTTCTTAACTTCTAGGCTTCGACGGCATCCAGCTTCACGCCGCCCACGGCTACCTGTTGTCCCAATTCTTGGCGCCGACGACGAACAAGCGCACCGACGAGTACGGCGGAGGCGCCGAAAATCGATTCCGCATTGTCCGCGAGGTGTACCAGGCCATTCGGTACGCCACTTTAGGCCATATGGCTTTGGAGCTAGAGAGTGAGCGTAAGAGAGAGAAAGAGCAGAGAGCGAGGGATGGAGAGCGAGAGATGGAGAGAGAAAGAAAAAGCCGATCAATCCTCTCCTTCAGATCCGCCATCCCCGAAACCAGCGGCTTTCTCGTCGGCATCAAGTTCAACTCGGTCGAATTCCAGAAAGATGGGCTGACGATGCAGGATGCCAAGACAATGTGTGGAATGATTGAGGTATCGATTTTTAACGTATAACTCAGCTTGCAACACTAGGACCTCGGCTTCGACTTCATCGAGCTGTCCGGCGGCACCTACGAGCACATCGAGATGCACCATACCAGGGACTCGACGAGGGCCAGAGAGGCCTTCTTCTTGGAGTTTGCTGATAAGGTATCTCTTAGGCTTAGTCTTAGGCTGGCTTGGATTTAGGCTTAGGCTTAGGCTGAAGTTGTGGTTTCAACTTCAGATCCGCCCGCTCTTCTCGAAAACGAAGGTCTACGTCACTGGCGGATTCCGCACCGTACCCGGAATGTGCAAAGCCCTGGCTTCAGATGCTTGCGAGGGAGTGGGCATTGCTAGGCCGGCGGCTCAAGAACCAGGTAGGATTTTAGTGGAATCGTGCTCTTTTTCTCTCTCTCGCTCTCTCTCTCCTCTCTCTCTCTCTCTCTCTCCCTCTTACCTAGCACCCATTCCAGACCTTGCCAAAAAACTCCTTGATGGTGTCGTCAAGTCGGCGGCCGACTCGAAGCTCGACCCGACTAACTTCATCTTGGGCATGATTGGTATGAAAAATTATCATGATAGGGCCTGCCGAGCATGAGATAGGGCAAACTAGGGGCTTTGGACCGACACAGGTATGTTTTCGGGAGCCATTTCTTCAGCAATTTCTGAGGGGAACTAGCAGAGATTCTTTGAAAACGCTTTTAGTGCATCATAAAAACAAGTGGAATTGTCATTTTTTTTATTTTTAGTGAGATTTCAGTCAGTAGAATTGTAGACTTCTTTGCCGTTACGTACCGAAAAACTTTCAGCCGCCAACACCCAAATGGCGCAGGCCAGCTGGACCCCAGTCAGCGCGTGCGAGGGTGATATTTGCCACGGTATCGTCGACCTCAGCGACGCCAAGACGTTCGAGAAGTGAGCTTCTACCCATTGTCGCGGTATACTTAAAATTTCAGATACATGCAAGCCGCCCTCGTCTACATCGGCGAGTTCATCCAGGCCGCTGACAACGGCAAGGTGATGGCCAAGGTGTTCGAGTTCAAGGAGGGACAGGATGTGAATGGGACTCAAGTCTAGAGATTTTTGGCTTGTAGATTTGATGCTTTCTTGTGTTATGGATCCGCTTTGTTACTTCGCATGTGATACTACGCTTTTTGGAGTCTTGTATTAGAATAAATTTTATGAAAGACAGAGAGAGAGGTTAGCCAGAGAGAGACAGAGAGAGAGAGAGCGGCAGAGAAAGATATCGTAAGGATGAGAGAGCGAGTACATGAACCAGGGATTGAGAGAACGAGAGAGAGAGAGAAAGAGAGAATGAGAGGAGAGAGAGGGCGAACCGGAAAGACTTTACTTTGCTCGACCCTTCCAAAGATCAACGCAACGCTCCTATCTTTGTAAAGTCGATAAAATCACGACCTCAAGGAACCAACAAAGCGAGATAAGCCACTTTGCACACCCACACCCAAAAGCCCGACATGGCGTCACGGCTCCTCCTTGCTTTTGCAATGTTTTTGGCGATTTCGGCAGTTTCAGGAAAACCTGGGTAAGTTATGTTGCTTGGTACACAGTTTTAAGTTTCGCTTCGATAATCGAGCCAGAAAATAACCTTAAAAAAATGGTTTTTTTTTTTTTTTTTTTTTTTTTTTTTTTTTTTTTTTGTTTTTTTTTTTTTCTTTCCCACCTCCCTCTCTCCCTTCCAAAAGAAAGAGGAGGGGGGGGGGGGGGGGGTATTTTATTTTTTTGGGGGGGGGGGGGGGGGGGTGGGGGTTTAAAAAAAAAAAATAATAAAAAATAAAAAATTATTAAATTAATAAAATTATTTATTAAAATAGGGAATTCTATCATTTATTTGAAAAAAATAAGGGGGAGGGGGGGGGGGGGGAATAAGAGAGAAGGGGGGGGGAATTTTTTTTTTTTTCTCCTTCCTCCCCCGAAAAAAATAAAAAAAAAAAAAAAAAAAGGGGGGGGGGGGGGGGGGGGGGGGGGGGGGGGGGGGGGGGTTTTCCATAAAAAAGGAAAGATTGTGCGAGTTCAGTAATGATCTAGGGTATTTTAGAAAATTCGTGATGACGACGACCCGAATCCGCTTCACATTAAGCTCGTCTACTATAAGGATTACACCGTTCGGGCCCAGATCCAGCTTGGAACTCCAGGTGGGAAAAAGCTTAATGGGTTATCGAAAACTTTTTTAAAAACGATGAAGTTTTAGCGGGAGCCGGAAAGCGATAAACTACAAAAATCCTATTATTTGATTACTATTGTTTCAACCTTCAGGCCAAACCCTGAACCTTATGCTCGATACGACTTTTGCCGATACCATCGTCATCAGCCCCAAATGCTTGACATGGGATAATTCGACTTGCAGCACCAATCCGGCGTTGAACTATACCCGTACGACCTTCGATGGCAGGTACGCTATCTTTTTCAGTTTAAAAATTTTTTTACAATTCGGCCCCGAAGATGATTAGCTGAATTTATGTAAAATCGATTCCAGCGCCTCTTCTACGTTCAAAAATTTGGGAATAAATGCCGCGAAGCGTGGCGACAATTTCCAAGCCGACTACACGGCCTCTGCGGATGCGTTCAGCATTGCCGATTTTCAGAGCAACATCATGTTCGGATCGGCTTATTATGTGAGTTTTTGTTACTGTATTCACAGTTAAAATATAACAATTTTGAACTCTACTACACAAAAAGTAAAGTTTGGTCAGGGTTAGGTTCGGTTTAGAAATTTAGGGCGGTGTTTACCTTCAAAACGATGAAGTAAAAACTCAAAATTTAATTAAGATAAACATAATAGAAAGATGATAATATTCAGATGCCAAGCAGCAATGACGATTCGATGGCCGACGGAATTCTGGGCCTCGGAATCGCCGGAATTCTCGGAAAATCGATCTTCGCCAATTTGAGCAGCACCTACCCGTCGATGACCAAAACCCCAAGCCTTGTGTCTTATTGGCTGAACGAGTAGGGAGAAAATCTAGTTAAAAAAAATAGCTTTTTCCTTCAGTTTCGAGCAGCCCAACGGAAAGGGCTACTTGACCCTGGGAGACTACGACGATCGAAACTGCCAGAATGACAACCTCACCACCATTACCTTGACGTCGGGGCAGAATTGGGAGTTCCGATTGAATGGGTAAGTCCAGGAAAAAAATCAAAATCGAAAAAGGAAACTGATAATTGTCAAGCTACCTTTTTTTTTCTTTGCTTACAAATTTCTCTTTTCATAATTTTTTGTTATAAATTTACTATCTTTAGTTGGAAACTCGGAAACCGTGGAGAAACAAAGAACTTGATCGCTCGGGTCGACTCTACTTCTCGTTACAATTTGGTACCCCAGGCTACCCTGACGGCTATCGGCACAGCAGCAAATGCTACCTTTGACTCGGGTGTTGGAAGTGTAAGTTTAACTATTTAATTTTGACCGTATATTTATTATATGTTTTATTGATTCAAACAATAGTTTTTCAATTACTTTTTAGTACTTCCTGCCCTGCGAGAAAACCACCTTCCTCCCGGATTTCCAATTCACCATCGGAACTCAAAATTATGGCATTAAATATCTGGAATATGTCGACTCGGTGAGGATACTTTAATATATTACCTATTATGATTATTGATGCATAGATTAAAAAGCTATATCCTGTTTTTTTAGTATATGGGAACCGACCGCTGTGAGATACTCTTCCAGACAAATAGCGTCTGGGAGCAGACCCGTACCGGACCACAGGTTTGTAGTTTGTTTTCCGGGTTCTTGGCTTCGATTGACTTGGAAAAACATCCGAAATAATTTTTGAAGCTCTATCACGGCTCCCCGACATTTGCGGCCCGACCATTTGCGGCCCGACACTTGCGGCCCGACATATGCGGCCCGACACTTGCGGCCCCGTCACTTGCGCCCGACACTTGCGGACGCGACATTTGCGGCCCGACATTTGCGGCCCGACACTTGCGCCCGACATTTGCGGCCCGTCCTATTAAGCTCGTTTTCCCCAACAAAAAATTAAAAAGAGGGTTAGTAAGAGTCTAAAGCATTGTCAAGCAAGGCGGGCCGTCGCTTCGGATGGACTGCCGCTCCACTCTTTCGAAATCGGGGCGCCTGGCCGCTACGCGCGCCTCGGGCGCCCCGATTTCGAAACCCTGTAAGAGCTCGCGCCCACCCGAAGCGACTAGGCCCCGGGTGGCACGAAGCCTTATTTTTAGGTCAAGACTAGGGGACAAGCGATCAAACCCCGTTCAGAAAACTAACCCTCCGGACGACTAAAAGCCTCAGTTTTGGGTAATTAACTACAGCTTTGGGCCGCAAATGTCGGGCCGCAAATGTCGGGCGCAAGTGTCGGGCCGCAAATGTCGGGCCGCAACTGTCGGGCGCAAGTGACGGGCCGCAAGTGTCGGGCCGCAACTGTCGCGTCCGCAAATGTCGGGCCGCAAGTGTCGGGCCGCAAATGGTCGGGCGGCAAATGTCGTGGCACCCTATCACCTAAATTATAGTTTACAAAATACGGCAATTATTAACGAAGGCTGGAAAATTCGTTTGTGCAAATTGCAGGTCGTCCTTGGTCACCCTTGGCAGCGCGCCTATTGCCACATGTTTGATGTGCAAAAGCTGACGCTGCAAATTTCCAAAGCAAATCACTATCAATAAAATGTATTGAAATAAATATACGCTATGATAATGATACGCTAAAAACTTAATAATTTTGTACAGCAAAAACGCAAAAGATAAGGCACTCACCTAGATCGATACTAAACTGTAAGATTTTGTAGCTCTTTCTCTCTTTCTCTCTTTCTCGTTCTCTGCCGCTCTCTCTCTCTCTTTCGATTTGTAGAAAGAGCCGACACCCAATTCCAGAATCCCATTAAACAAACAAAGACCCATTTTCGGGCTCCTCGCAATCATTGCGTACAACATTTTGTCGGCCCACCAAAAGCCTAGGGGTCGATTACGCGAAAAACGGCTCGCCGCGATCATCAAAAGAGGAGACCCCACTCTTTTTATGGGGTGCCCACTTGGGAGGGCGAGGGCGGTGGTCGATTCGGTGGTTTGAATTCGGAGGGTGGAAGGTGCAAATTCGGGATGGGCTTGAAATTTGAACAAACACATGGATCAAACATCTTCGTAAAAACGTTATTCATCACCAGGGCGGATATCACTTTAGCAATTTGAGAAATTATAAATTGGAGAGTTTTCTGATTTATGCGTTTCTTAAGACCCCCGAACGATTTTTTAGTATTCCATCGTCATATGATCGTCGGGTCGTTCGCCCAGAGACAAGTTGTTTACAAAAATTTGCATCCCGTATCTGCCGCAGACATCGCTTTTTGGTCCGCCAAAAGCGCGCGCCGCCAACCGGGCCCCTACTGGGTCAACCCCGGCCACATGTGATCATCTGGAGGCTATTTTTGGTCAATTGCCGGGATATGGTTCTATTGGAGATGTTTGAAAGGTTGTGAAATTCCGAAATCCAACTTTCCCATCACACACAAACAAATGTATACCATCCTCAAAACGATCCTTTTGGGCCCAGCAACTGCATGCCACCCACAGCTGCCCTGGGGGAGTGCGACTACCGTACCCCTAGAGACAAAGCGAGAAGAGCGGGTGGCAGCGAGGGTCGTGGGGGCGAGGGTGGCATTTCGGATCTGCAGCGAGTCAAAGAGTTTTTCGACACTTTACCCATGGCCTGTGATGCGCCATCCCGGTTGGTCCGTGGGAATTGGGCAGAAACGGAGACAAAAAAGGGGCTTCGGTGACGATGGGTCATCCTGCCTGTAGGTTCTAGCATCAAAATAGTCCTATCCGTTTGGCTTCATCTTGCCAAAGCGCCTTAGGTCGACCGAACGTCTTCGCTCCCCCTTCGCACACTTGCTCTATGCAGAGTCCCACCGCATCTCTGGAAAGTGTTTATACGGATTACCGAGACACGACTGTGTGAGGTCATTTGCTGATGCCGCTCTATCCCTCTTCCGATCGCTCTCAATTTCAAGCAACTACCGCCGGCGGGCCACATGTGGCTGGCCCAGGGTTGCAGTTTAGACTCCGCCCTCCAATAGGCAGCCAATGTTACGCGTTTTCCGGTTTTTGCTCCATTTTGCAAAGTTATATGTTCTCAATTACTGTTTAAGCAAAGTGGAGTGTCAAACACTTTTACTGTCACTCTCAAAGTAACTTTAGGTTCTTGTGCGTATCGTAAGGTTGCGTAGCGTAATTTAGGAGAGCGCTTGTCAATGCCAAAATTAAAATAGCGTTCCTTTCCAATTTATTTTCAACCCCCTTCAAAATATTTCCAGATCTTCATCGATAACGAAACGTAGTCGTGGCTTGTCGGGCGTCCGGGGCCCGACGAACCAAAACAAACGCAACCCTGGCTACCCTCCGTTCTTCGACAAAATATGATGATTCATAGTTTTTTCCAGTTAATTTATGCAAGTCTGGGTTTCGTAATCTGCCTTGAGTCTTAGCTTATTCATATATAAAAATTTCTAAAGCTTGCATCACGAAAATCAGGATTTTCTAAAATGTGGGTATCCTTCTTTTTTGGGTTTGCGTGTAATTCGAAATTCTTGTAGGATAACTCTGGTTTTCTGTAATATTTATTGCAGTTGTCCTGGGGGATCTTCTCTTCTGGAGCACGATGCTCCCGATCACCTCGAATTTGGAGCCGACGACGCAACGCAACAAGGGATGGCTACTGGTACGTTCCAAATGATTTTGGTTGTATAAATGTCCGTGGTTCGTCAGGGTGGCCTTATTCAAAACACTAGTTTCTCCTTCTAGGTCTATGTCTGCTCCGGCTACCTCGCCGGACGTTGTACGAACCCAGATTGCGATTGGGCACATCCAGGGCCGTTGGTTAGGATATCGGGCAACCGAGTGAGAAGCTGTTTCGATGCCATGATGGTGCGTTTTTTAAAGAGAGAGAGACGCGAGAGAAAGCGATAGAAAGAGAGTGAGTGAGAGAGAAAGAGAGGGAGAGAGAGTGAGAGAAAGAGAGTAGAAGAGGGGTGGATGAGAGGTAGCTAGAAAGCGAGAAGTATAGAAATAGTGAAAGAGGATTCGATAAACCACATCGAAGTATGCCCAGAATTAATTTTGAAGCGACAAGCCTAGAAGAATTCCCCATAAAAGATTATATATACTTTCTGCAGGGCCATTGTCGGCGAAATTTTTGCCGCTTTTTCCACCCAACTCCGAAAATCCGAGCATGGATTTTTCGCTACGGACAAGAGGAGATGAGATCCAGGGTAATTTTTCTAGGCTTTAGATTTAATTTAATTAAAATATTTCTGAATTGGAATTGGCATTATTTTATGCCTGAAAGTATCTGTTTCGCCGTAGGATTTATGTTTTTAGCTCATGGACCAGGAGCGGAAAAGGAAATGTCAGCTTGAAAGTCTGTTGGCTGCGGCTCGAACGCGATACGTAATTGATCTTTTGATATACAGAACACTCACAAAGCTTTTAGGAAATTGAACAAACTCTAGCCGCTCAATCGGATAGCGCTGGATGGGCCGCATTTAGCCAATCGTTTCAAGGCGATGAGAATTCGGTTCGACGAGAGAACTCGGTGGAGTCCTCGGCTTCTGACGGTAACTTTTGTGTTCGCAGTCTGATGATACCATCTCGTGAGAGAGAGCGAGTGAGAGCGAGTGAGAGCGAGAGAGAGAGAGAAAGAGAGAGAGTGAGCGAGTGAGAGAGAGAGAAAGGGCGAAAGAGAGAAATAGTGAGAAAAGGGGGGTTGAGAATATAATCTCCATTTTTGCAGCCTACGACCCCGCCGAACCTCTCCAGCCTATTGAAGACGACGATCTAAATCTATCACAACAAGATGAAGACGTTCAGGTTCTGCAAGGTCAGGCTTTAGTATCCTAGCAGTTCCAATGCTTCAATTTGGTGCAATATTAAGTTTATGAAGAGCTTGATGAAAATCAAAGCAAATTATTTAGAAACCGGCTGCATCTGTTGTGCAAAGCAACATCGCCATCCGCGAGACCTTTGGGCCGCTTTTGAGCATCGGGTTCTGCATACGGTAGCTTTTTTGGTAACATGCTCGATTTATCTATTTTCCATATCAGAATCTGGGCTTTTGATCGCTATCCATAAGCAATTAAATTTTTTAGCCGCCGTCGATCTATTTCCGACCCCCTGAAGACCCACTGCTCAGTCCGTGCGACAGCCTGGATGGTTCCGGAGCTCGGACTCCACCTGGTACCCCACCTCGGTCTCCTATGGACGTCTCGTCGTCGCCTGAGTTTTGAATGGAGCGTAACGGCGATGTAATCTGGTTCATAGCAATTTATTGGAAATTTGCATAATCCCGTTTTAATGTATTTAATATTTGTTACTCGGCTTTATGTTATTTCTCCATTTCGCTCATTATTTGTTTTACATCGAATATTTGCTTTATTAAATGATATTTTTACCATATATACCTCATGTTACTTATCGATTAATTTGATCAAAGTTTTTGACAATATATTTATGTAATTTTGTTATATTGAAGGCACAGATTATACCTTTTATCCCATGTCATTGCCATATTTCTATGTTTTTAAGCAAATATTCATGCTGTATTTAAGCGATACTTTGATGTCTACTGCTTTTACTGCTTATTTAATCAATTCAAGCTAAAATATTTTTCATTTTACATACTATAGTGTATTTCTGCAAATGTACATATTCAATAAACAGATTTCGTCAATTTCTTGTAGAAATTATGACTCATTTCGTATCGTCCGATGCCTATTTCTTAGTTTATTTTTTCCAGTTTTTTTTGCAAATTTCTGTTCTCTGGCTTGTTGACGTCGTTTTGATTTTCTGAACCAGATGGGCGGGTCTTCCGACGCTTCTGACCCCCGTGATTCAGCCAGAAAAACGGGCGACGATTGGTTGATTAGGATCAGGACCGCCCCTTCTAGCCTTGAGGGCTTCATTCGTAGCTTTTAAAATCGTATCTGCTCGCTTTCATATGCACTCACTTCTCTTATTTAGTCCCTTAACGATTTTCTTAGTCTCGCCTCTAGTACCGTAGCGTAGCATGCGTATATGGTAGCGCAGCGTAGTACGATGCTGTACCATACCGCATTCATTACCCGGAGCTGCCTTTTTAATTGATTTGCTTTTCCAAAGTGGTCGATAGTCCGTAGTGTAATAGCGTATATAGTAGTACCATATAGTACGGGAGTGTACGGCATCACGTTGGATTCCAAATTTTGATTCTTTGCTCTCCTTGAAATTTAATGCTTCGAAGATACTGGCAATTGGCAGAAGATTTTGTAACATATCGGTATGTAGTGACATAAAGTGAATAGTTGCGTAACGTAGCTTTCCTATTTTTCTAGATTCTTTCTACGATAACGTCCTTAAATTCCACTTCCACTTCGATACTTCTCCCATCTAGATAATTTTTTGCTTAGAGCCTGTTTGTAACCACCTGTTGTGGTCATATGTCTATCCTTTCAATTCGATCGATTAGAATCACCATCACGCCACCGGCTCTCTTTGGTATTCTCATGGCGCATGTTTATGCAATTCCAGACGCAGTTGTAGTTTGTAGTCTAGGCACTTGTAAATATGTAAAGCCTGAGCTAAATACCCGGAAGCCTAGTCGGAACATATGGCAATGTAGAATCCCTTAGTTTCGCCTGATCTTCAATCGATTTGTTTTTGTTGTATTTCAACAGCCCAGACCTAATTCTAGTCGGGACCACCATGTTAGTCGAAATCGATCGATCCGCTGAGTCACCCCAGCCGCGTACTGTAGTCTCCTCACTGACTTCCCCGGGCGTGGGGGCCCCATTAATTTCCTTGAACCCCAGGCCCGATGCCCAACTGGCTTTGACCAAAGAGACCAGAAAAAAATGTGAGAGTAAAACGCAGAAAGCAAAAATTACATGTTTTTGGAACCGGCCAAAAACGATTCCCACGCCAGACCCTGGTAAAGTTATTTTGCTAATGCAATAGAAAAGCTGGGCATCAGCCAATAAAGGGAGAGCATCAGCGAGCGAACCTTAAAGCTACCTCCAGTTATGCTACAGTAGGACATAACTCAATAGCTCAGAGAGCAAAGCTTGCTCGTTTTAAGGCACAAGGTTTACAGGGCCCTAAAGTCACATTTTTCGACAGTTCCTCCCTAGTTCCCCTTTACCCAAGCCCCTGCTCCTCCACAAGGGGTACCCGATGCGTTTTGCAAAATTTGCATATCATTCGCTGGAAATTTTCCCACGCCTGGGCCCTAGGCCAGGGCGAGTGATTCAACTCATGTGAATAATTTAGCAGCATGGCAGTGATCCTGTCTTAAAGACGGGTAGCCTTTTGCCCACAGCTGAATCCTTATCCAATCAAAAAATTTAGCATTCGCGAAATAATGCGGTCCATGTTAAAATTTCTAAATGTCTTTTTCAATCCAAAATAAGCAACAATAATCGTAGAATTAAAAGCAGTCCTTTCAGACCACCTGAAAATGCTCCACGCGCAGCCAGGAGCCCAGGAGGCAGAGGCTCAGCAGCCGGAGATCGAGCCGAACGAACACGAGAAATTGAAGCAAAAACGGATGGAAGACGTTGGGCTGGAGGCAGCTCCGCGCAAGCCAGCCAGGATCAGACAGCTACCCCGGAAGCTTCACGACTTCCAAATGAACGACCTCTCCGAGGATGAGAAAACTACCGGAAAACCGAGGTGACTATAGGCACAGACATGAGAGCGAGGAGCGAGAGAGAGAGGCAAGCGAGAGAGAGACAGAGAGAGACAGAGAGAGAGACAGAGAGAGAGAGAGAGGGAGAGAGGGGGAGTTTAAGTGAGCGTGAGTGAGAAAGGGAGCGAGAGAGATATTGCTGTCGCTTTAACAAGGTTAATTTTTAGGCCTCGGCGACCCAGATCAAAACTCGTCGCCGGAGTGGCCGAGATGGTTCCTGAAGCCGTAGAAATCGGCGAACAGGCAGAGAAGGGCCAAGAAATGGTAGAGCAACAGCCGGAGGACAAGGTGAGCTAGCTTGAAGCTTGCGATTTTTGCTCCGACAACAAAAATATAAAAAAATGATGATAGTAAGTAAAGAGAAAAGCGCAACATCAAAAGCCCTCTTTAGGACCCGCAAAACCCTGATGACCATGCCGAAGTTCCCGTTGCTGAACACGACGCAGACATTGAGGTAGTACGCTTTTTTCATTCAAGTCGTAACGCTTTCCGAAAAAATGAGCTCGCAAAGCCTAAGCTAAGCCTACGATTTTAGGGCCAGCGCAAACCGCCAAAGAGGAGGAAGTACCCGCTGGAGCAGCGCAAATTCAGACGGGCCAAGCCGGGGCCGAAGCCCAAGCCCAGGCCTCAAGTCGTTGTGGAGATCCAGAAATTTCAGGTAATTCATACTAATTGTTACATAGAAGTAAGCTGATGTCGAATCTCGATAGCTTTCAATCTTTCGGAGCTCTTCAGAGAGCCGGAAATGAACAAGTCTCCATGGCGCCAGGTCAACCTGAAGATGTTCAACAGCTCCAAGAAGGGAAGAGGTAGTCCATGTGGCCCTCTTGTCATTCTCCCTTTAATGCAATTTCAGGTGTCGAAACCGGCTGTTGTTCTTGCAGGGTCGTCACCTATCAAGAAAAAATACTCTCGGGGAAAGTACCTGAGAAAGCCGAAGCTTGAAATGGTAGTTTCTAAATAGCTAGTCAGAAATTATTTATTTTATTTAACTTCTTGTAATAGAATTTCTAACGTAAAAAATAAATTTTGTAATTTTTTTAGATCGCACGCTGAAGAAGTGCCACTAGCGACTCGCGCTGAAAGCAATGAACAGTTGCGGGGAGTTTTGGAGGTGAGTTGGATTGGGCTTTAGAAATTGCTTCCCTCCATGCCAATTGCCCTTGGCAATTTAGGCACCAACGCCTGGGGCTTTTCCTCAAAAGAAGGTAATCCGGAAGAGGACACTGAAGCCGGCAAATTACCCGAGGAAGAAGAAGCTCAAGCTCAGCGAGGTCGAGGTAGCTTATGGCTGTTCTAAAGAATTGAAAAATTACAGCCTCAGATTCAGCATGAAGCCGATGAGACGGTGGCCGCTGAGCAAGCCCAACAAGTTCAAATTCAAGGAGATGGCCAGGTAGTTTATTTGTAGCTTTAATGAAGTCGTCCTATCTCCTATCACCGTCCCTTTAAAACCGCTTAGACATCAACATCGGGAGCTGTTTTGGAAGCACAAGAAATAAAGATTGTTCGAAAAAGAAAGCCCAAACGTGGAAAGTATCAAAGAATTAAGAAAATTACCGAGGTACGTAAAAATTTTAATTACGTGGGCTAATTTTTTAATGTATTAAACATCTTTCTAGCATCAGAAGTTTAAGCCTTAGCGATTTTCTAAGCGACCAATTAGGTTATGCCGTCTATCTTGGTACGCTGTAGTCATTCAAAAATTTAGGGACTGACAACGAGGTCTGGAAAGATCTGCAAAGTCCTTTCTCCGCTGTGCCGGAAGTATGGACCTAGAAAGGGGCGGCGAAACCCGAAGCCAGGATTTCAAGCCAAGCCGCTGCGTGCCATATTGCCTCGCAAAGCCAAGGAAGAAGTTGGGGTAAGTGGTAGCCTTAAAAAATGGTTCAATGCAAACTACAGCCTCCTGCTGGCAGTAGACATGGTGCTGACGATGCCCAAGAAGAGCAAGGCGCCCAAGAAGTTCAACGAGTTCAGCAGCCAACTTCTAGCCGCATTCAGGTGCAGTAATTCCGCTTATATGAAACTAGAGTTTTTTTTACGTTTGTTTGGAGAGGGGTGATCCGAAATTTCAGCTTGCTACTCCGACCACTTCTGAAATGACCTCGACAAGGATCAAACTCGGGAGAGGAAAATATCAACGCAAGAAGAAGCTGCTGACGGAGGTAATTCTCAATTGAAGAAAACCGACCTTCCAAAAATTCAGATTGCGGGGATCGATAAATTTCAGCCTGCCGGAGAAGCTGAACAAGTCCAAGCTGAAGGCGAAACCGTAGACCAACATATGCACAAACAACCCCCGGTTTGACCATTTTCTTAATAGGATGATTTTCTGAATATCTAGTCCTCTGGCGATAGAGGCGACATCGAAGAGATGGTCCGGGCGCACGTCGCCAAGCTGGTCGATGCGGCGGGGGCGGTAAGTGCTGTTAGATGGACGATATAAGCGTTTTCGGGTGGTTGAGCTGTAGCAAAAAAAAGGGTTGGGGATCCTGGAGCTGTAAGTAGCGAGAAAGAGAGTCGTCTAGTGAGATCGAGATAGAAAGAGAGAATCAAGATCATGCTCAAAATTTAGAGACCCAACGATCCCAGCCAAATCGATATGGATGCATTACTCGATGAATGCGTTCGTCATTGCCGAGCACGATTGCAGAAGATGATGCGCGAAGTGAGTTTTTTCGTTTTAGAGGTAGCGCGACATCTAAGGAAAAAATGGTCTCTCTGAGCTAATTAATATCAACTTTTAGCGACTTGCTCCTGAGCCTTCGGCTCACCAGGCTCGCAACTTCCAAATGCAGAAACTGAACAAAGCTGCTGTTGCTTCCGGGGGGCTTGGGTCTTGCAAAGCGCGCGCGCTTCGTTTTTGGGGGGGGCGGCCGCCTCCCCCCCCTTTTTTGGGGGGGGGGGGAAAAAACCCCCGGGGAAGCCCAGAAACCGAAACAACTGTTCTCCTACTTTGGAGACGAAGACCCGGAAACCCCAACCAATCAGCAGGTTTGAGGCCAGTTTTCAGATTCGTAATTGAGAGTTTTCTAGCCTGGATGGCTAGGTGTCGATTGGTGCGCCGCGTCGCCTCCTGCCCTCCAGGATCCGGGCGAGCAGGACTTGGAGCACGAGGTTTGCATATTCTAATTCTAGTGAAAATATGATTTATAGGATCAGCCTCGTGATCTCGTCGAGGTTCCGGAAACCGCAGCAGCTCATCCAGCTACGGACGATGTTGAGCTAGCAGACGAGGAAGCTGATCCTAACATTGATCAACACCCGGTTGTCGATGCCACGGAGGAACTTGAGGAACCCGAACTGGCAAAGCTATCCCAAAGCCAAGCTTCTCAACCGGAGCCGGAAAATGAAGAACAGGTATGGAGCCTCCTCGATTTATGATTCGTTTCCAAATGACATACCTTTTGTGTCATAATTCCAAAATCCTTTCCAGTCTGACGCCGATGAGCTTGCAGTTGTAAAAGCCTGCTTGGACGTCATAAATCAAATTTGTGGCGTGAATACGGACGGTGCCGACGGGACCAAGATGGATTTTGATGGCCTTGTTCTGGTTGAGGTTCCGCGATGCCAGGCCGGTCAAGAAGGACAGCCGATGGCTACGGACCCGAACATGGTACGCCATTTTTCCAGACTCCGGTTTCCCGGAAGCCCGCCACTTCTTGAGGTTTCCCTTCCCAATTCATTGCTTTTAGAATGCCGAAGAAAACGAGAATGAAAGCCACAACTTCGCCGAGGTTGCGAAAATCGACGAAGTCCTCGAAGCGGACAAAGCAAGCTGCGATGTGAATGGAAATGATGGCATCGTTGAACAAGAAGAAACCGCACATGTGCCCGTTTTGAATGCTGAAGATGCTGATCCTCCTGTGCAGCATCTGTCGGCATTTCCAGTAAGTCCAGATGGCCCAGAATTAAGCAGCCAGCATCTTTATGTCAAGACTTTCCTGTTCAACGCTTTATTTCTAGGAAGAGCCCGACGTGATTCAGGCCATCGTGGAGGATCCGATGGAGGAGGCAGCCCATTCGAAAAGTGCGGAATTACCGGGATTGACGGGCATCGCGAACAAGGTCAGTTGGCTTATAATGGTTGGCTTGAGATATTTCGAAAATTTATTCGAATTTAAGGAAGCCCCACCACTTACATTTGCCGCCTTGCCTCCTGACGTAAGAAATCCGGAGCAAGAGGAGCAGGTGTTGAAACCGGAAACTTCGAGAAAAGACCATTTATAGCTTGGCTACGACCACGATTATTGTCGACGGCAGGACGAACCAGTGGCAGCCCCCGAGAGCCAGGAAACCCAGCTGCTATCGAAAAATGCAGAACAGGTAGCGTATGCTCTCTTTCCCAACCAAAACATCTTCTGTATCTCAATTCGAAATTCATTTTCAGCTTGACGGCGATGATCAACCAGCTGATGATGACTGCGTTGATATGAGGGATCTCGTTGAAGTCGTGACGGCTGCCACTGTCGACGACGAGAAAACTGCTGCTCGAAATGAACATGCTCGGCTCGAGGAGCCCCTTTCCAAGGCGGGCCAAGAAGTACAGGAGCCCTCCATGGACCTCAACATGGTATGCAAAATTACTTTACCCCGGGTTTTCTTGTGCATTGCTACGGTACTTTCACACCGCATTTTTCAGAATACTGAAGAAAATGAGACTGAAAGAAACGATGTCAACGCGTTCGCAAAAATTGACGAAGCTTTCGAAGCAGACAAAGCGAGCTGCGATATGAATGGAAATGGCACCTTTGAGCAAGTAGAAATCGATAATGCGCCCGTTTCGAATTCACCTCTCTCCGACTTTTGTGAAGTTGCCGATGTTGCTGGCCCTCACGTGCGTATTCTGTCGGTATCTACTGTAGGTCCAGAAAGTGCAGGCTTGGGAATCCATGATTATTTTACATCCGGAGTGTTCAAAGACTTTTTTTAGGAAGAGCCTGAATTCGAGATGGTCGACGAGGTACAGGCCGACGAGGAGGTCCAGACGGACGATTCAACCCATTCGATGAACACGGAAATACCGATCGTTGCCGCCATCGAGAACGAGGTCAGCACTGGGTTACCATGCTTGGATTGGGTTCCTAAACGTAATTTCCAAACAATATTCGAATTTTAGAAAGGCACTCAGCTTGCCGGTGCTGCCGCTCCCCTTGACGCAAGGAATCAGGAGCAAGCGGAGCAGGTGTATCGCGGCGCAAACGTCGCCGAAGGTGAACATGAAGATGTGGCAGCGGAAAATCGCTCTGCTGCCGATACTGCTGACTACAGCCACCAACCCGATGACCATGCAAAAGCTGAATTGACCGCGCTATTTTGCAACTTCACCGAACCGTCTGATTCTTCTTCATATGAATCCTCCCGGCAACAGGTTGGCAACTTAATTCAGGATTACGCTTGTGCTTTGGCTTATCCCTAGGCATATGTTTCGGCTTAGGTCTGGCTTAGGCTTAGGCCCGGATTCAGGCTTATAAGGAGTGCTTTTTTTGAGTCATACGCAAATCATTTCCAAAGATAGTGCATTCGATAGAGAATTTCATTCTGAGTAACGCTATAAGATTCATTTTTGCAGAATGGCTGTCCCCGATTTTATAAAATTAAAAAACTAAAACGGTGTTTTCCTACATCCCCGCGGCGCGCATCCATGGCAGGCATGACTTGCCACCGGGACAAGGGGGGCCTAGATGGCTTCCCAATCACGATTGGCGATGGCGCAGTCGGTAGCGCGGTTGTCTTTGAAACTTTTTTGGACTTCTCTGAGAGGTTCGATTCTTCCGAATGTAATTTCTTTTGCTTTTTTTATGGTCAATTGCGTTTCCGTACATAGGGATGTGATTTTTGCGTTTTTGAATTGGCAATTGCTTCAAAGTTGATCAAAGTGAAGTCTCCAGGCCCCGAGCCTTGTCAATGTTCACCGGGATTTCACTATAGTCGTGCCTGCTCATATAGCGGATTCCATGGTAATTGAAGCCAAAAAGCCATTCACCGCTATAAAAATTCAAAAAAGCAAAAGGAATTACACCTGGAAGAATCGAACCTCCCAGAGAAGTCCAAAAAAAGTTCCAAAGACAACCGCACTACCGACTGCGCTCTCGTCAATCCTGGTTGGGAAGCCATCTGGGCCCCCCTTGTCCCGGTGGAGATTTGATCCCATCGGTGCGCGCCGCGGGGATGTAGGAAAACACCGTTTTAGTTTTTTAATTTTATAAAATCGGGGACAGCCATTCTGCAAAAATGAACCTTATAGCGTTACTCAGAATGAAATTCTCTATCGAATACACTATCTTTGGAAAGGATTTGCGTATGACTCAAAAAAGCACTCCTTATTAGCTTGACTTTTAGCCCCGCTTAGGTTCCCCTAAAGTTTTTTTCGAGGCCCCTGTGTTACAGCGACGTTCTCGTGGACACTTGCAGCTTGTTGCAAAGCTGAAGCACGAGCCAAAGGACCAAAATATTTCAAGCGGAGTGGTTGGAATTCATTAAAAATAGCTCTATTTGTCCAAATCCTAGGGGCACGACGAGGCCAAGCAGGAGGAAGCTGTGGAAATTCAAAAGCTGGAGGACGAGGTGGATATTTAATGCTTACAAAGACCCCTTCTTCTAGCTTGCTGCTCCAGATGCTGCTTCTAGCTCTTGCTGCTTGCCCTTCGTGAAGTTACGGCTAGATCAACGACGCAAAAGCTTTGCTGAGGGATGTGGTATCCAGGTATGGATTAAGATTTAAGCAGTTTCTTCCAACGTTTAGAGCCAAAATGCACTATGCATTGCTGCTCAAAACCCACCTGAAAACACTCAGCCAGCTGCAATTACCGTAAGAGACACCCGCAAAAAAAAACTTTTCTATATTTTTCAGTTGTGTAACGTCGCTGATCATCTACCCAAAAATGAAAATCACTTTGCCAAGCGCAAATATGATAATGCCGGCGAGGATCATCTTCCGGAAACCCCTACCAGACATCAGGTTTTTGCACTTTCCTGCTCAAAATATGTACATTTCAGCGTCGTCTGGAGAGATACGAGAAGTCCGGCACGTCTACTCCTGCGCGGCTTGAACTCGTTACCGAACGCGCTCCGCCTAATGTCGCCGAAGCTCCACGCCAAGATGTTGATGAACATCCCGGCGAGACACCTGCGCAACGTAGGATCAGAATTGAAGCCGAAATCGAGGAGGTACGCCTCGAGCAACGCCGCAAGTCTACCTCGGAGCAATGCCAAGCCGCACGATTCCGCGAAGAGCAGCAAAAGGACGAACGACTTGAACAGGAGCGGCACGTCAAGCTGAATTTGGAGATAATCAAACGCGCAGCCGAGGAGAAGGCGCGCCAAGTTGCAATTGCCGCGGAGAAGGATATCAAACGGAAAAATCAGCAACGTGAAGAGCGACGCGAGCGTCGGCGACAGAGCAAGAAGTTCCTGGGCGCGAGATCTGCCTCTCAAGTGATCAAAGGGGTACGAGCAGCTCAAAATGAACAACGAGGGCAGAGCGTTGGAGCCACGCCGGCGAGAAGGTCACGTCAGAGCAAAACGCCTACGAGCGCAGGGTCTGCCTCAAAAGATTCGCAAGGAGAACGAGGAGTTCAAGGGGTTCCAACCGGACACAGCGTTCGAGCTAGAAGATCAGGTCGCGATGCCGGCCCGAGCACTTCACGCCAATCCGGAGAAGCTCAAGCTGGTGCTCAAGTTCAAGCCGCAGAACGATGCACTCGTCATCAACAGCAAACTCAAGGTGATGACGTCGCTGGCCCACAATCAAAAAGAGCTCGGCTATCCCCTGAACTTGCTGAAGACACAGGAGACCAAACTGGGGCCGTTCAAGGAGTAGAAGGCGAAGCAATGCCAGGGTGTTGCAGACGCCGGAAACGCGGAACATCTACAGATGACGAGCTTTTTGGAGGTGCTCAAGAACAGGAGCATCGAGCACAAGGCGACCGAGCACAAGCTGGCGGCCTTCGGCCGCCGAACCTTGAACTTGTTGAAGCTGCTGGGCTCCGAAAACCAAGCGTTGACAGCCTTGCCCTGGAGGGAGAGTCTACTTCTCCGAGCCTGTCTGGCTCCACAGGATCGGCGGACATGGCGGACGAGGCTGAACAGCTTGAAGATGGTGTGGGATGGAATCAGCCGAAAGATCCGGATGTAGAAGATGCAGCTGCTCATCGTCTTCGAGAGTGGCAGCAATCAGAAAGCTCTGCCAAAGCTGGGTCGGGCCCGTACGCACATCAAGTTGATGATCAAGACGGCTTTGACAAGAGCAGAGGACCTTCTGAAACCCAAGGAGAAGCCGAGGTGGCGATTAGTCCTGCTGAATCCAGCGGTACGACAGAAAGTGCGCCCCCGGAAAAATTACTACTCCGCATCTCCGCCGACCGACTCCGCCTATCCGACGACTCCGCGTCGGTCAGCCCGAAGAAGAAGACGAAGCCCAGGCCGAAGCCGGTTCAGGAATTGATCCGCCGAAAGCAGTCGAGGGAGGGACTCCGGCCATCTAAAGATGTCAATTACAAGGAGCCGGCCACACCACCTCTCCCACCTCGAGTCTTGGTTTTCGTGCCGATGCCAAGCCGGCTAACTGTAGCTGATTCTCAACAGCCAAAGACGTCACAATTGAGCGCGATCAACTCGGAAAACACCTTCAAGAAGAAGGACGGGATCTCGAGCCGAGCCGCTGAAGTCGTAGTCGCTGAAGTGGCGGTTCAGGCCAACGAAGAGGTTAGCTCAGAGTCGTTTTTTGGTAAATAGACGAGCTATTGATTCTTAATATCCGAATTCTACAACTGCTATATCCTGACCTAGCTTTAATGTAATTATATAAATCACTACCACGCTTTTTTGCCACGTATCCCATCTATGTAGCGAAATAATAATTTTAGCCCGTCACGACAGCAGCAAACAATTTTTTCTTTTCTCGAGTATTAGTCGATATTAGTCTCTAGTATATAAGGATTCATTCAGGTTATCAAACTTGAGACCGCGGCTCTATCCTAATAGCGGGGACCATAGAAAATATCGGGTACCATAGAAATTATCGGGGACCATAAAAAATATCGGGTACCATAAAAAATATCGGGTACCATAGAAAATATCGGGTACCATAAAAAATATCGGGGACCTTACGGAATATCGGGGACCGATCGCGAATATCGGGGACTTTAAAATCGGCCATTTAGGCCAAAATTTCGGCTGATCAATATCGTGGACTTTAAAATTTGGACTCCAGCCGGGCTATGGTCCACGATATTGACCGATACAAAAAATATCGGAAATTGCCGGAAAACGCCTGCTAATCTAGCAAAGGGCAATTCATTGGCTTCCCAAGCGCCAGGGGCTGCAGAGAAGCTTACCTTGCCATCTTCCTTGGTACTTTACTGTCTTGGACGACTTGACGCTTATGGCGAGGTGATCGTTCTTTGAGCTACACCACTCCACATAAATTTGTAGGCGCTCCCAATTTTTTGCCTAGGGAAATTGCCAGTGGGAAAGCCGGCGTAACTTGGGGCTCGAGCCCGATGCGTTACGTACGGATCCGTACAGGTCATGTGACGATGTTACAGCACAAACCGAGTTTGAAATCGCCTAGCATCCCTTAGATGGAGAATTTAGCCCTAAGTTACGCCAAGGGTACGATGCGATCACGAACAAGTTCGGGGAGTTTTGCGTTTTAAATGCGCAACTGAGTCTTGAGATGCATGCTACCGGTCGGAAGGCCTCTGTGGACCACATCAGCTCGGTAACACGGCGAAATTATCGTTCCCTTCGCTAAAACGAACCCGCCCACAGACCATTTTTGATGCCACGATTTTTCGGTCTTGGAACACTCTTGGCAATTTCCCTAGGAAAAAAGTTGGGAGCGCCTACAAATTTATGTGGAGTGGTGTAACTCAAAGAACGATCACCTCGCCATAAGCGTCAAGTCGTCCAAGACAGTAAAGTACCAAGGAAGATGGCAAGGTAAGCTTCTCTGCAGCCCCTGGCGCTTGGGAAGCCAATGAATTGCCCTTTGCTAGATTAGCAGGCGTTTTCCGGCAATTTCCGATATTTTTTGTATCGGTCAATATCGTGGACCATAGCCCGGCTGGAGTCCAAATTTTAAAGTCCACGATATTGATCAGCCGAAATTTTGGCCTAAATGGCCGATTTTAAAGTCCCCGATATTCGCGATCGGTCCCCGATATTCCGTAAGGTCCCCGATATTTTTTATGGTACCCGATATTTTCTATGGTACCCGATATTAGGATAGAGCCGAGACCGCCATACCTGACTCGCCAGAGGCAGCGCCTGAGGTACCTTTTGTGTGAATTCTGTTAAGAAAATTTTTGAGCCTTTGGCTAGTATCGAATTAAGAACGACTTGTTTGCAGCGACTAATTTTGAAATAAATGGAATAACAACGTAAATAAGAGTTACAATTAATTACCATTTAGGACGTCTCGACCGGGCCGCCAACGAGCCAAATTCGGCCGGGTCCTCGTAAGTTTTTTCCTCATAACAAAATATGATTTCCGCGCCAGATTATCTTAATTTTACGTATTATGAAGGCAAACTTTTGACAACCGAAAACTTATCTCAACTCCGATTTTAGAACCCCGGAACCCCGCCGTCCGCCCCTCGCCACGGATCAACGGGCTGGAGGACGACGATGATGAGGACGATGCCATTTGCGCCCCAGCTCCGGTTCCCGCACCTGCCCAAATCGCTGTCCAGGCTCATCAACAGCCACCACAACCTGTGGTTCAACAAGCCCCGCAACTACAGACGCAACAAGCCCGACCGCCAGTGCAGCAACCGAGCCAGATGCTTGCTCAAGGCGACTATGCAGGACTGCCACTACCACAACTGGCAGCACAGCCTCAACATCAAGCTGTACCTCGGCTGGTGACTGTTCTGACACCGCATCCACACCAATATGTTCAACCACATCCTCAACGTCAGGATCGACAAGTACTGCTCCAGCAGCTGCAACAACAACCACAGCGACAAGTTCACCCTCTGCCCCCATTTTGGGACGCACCATGGCTTTACCTGAACCCCGAGCAGCTGCTAGCCCTGAATGTAGCGCTGCTGAACAACATGCCTGCCGATCAGCGGGACACACTCCTCAACTGGTATGGAGCGGCAGGTAGGTCTCCTCTGTATAGCGACTAAAATTTGTGAAGTTTTGCCCAAAAATGGCTTACGATGCGTCGTAGCCTTTCAGATCCAGTTCTTCTTTTGAAAACGAGATTCGGTATCAGGGAAAAATTCCCAATCAAAATTTATTTTGCTAAAATGATCTTAACTAAGTTTCAATGTCAAGAAAAACTTGTAGGGTACCTGTAGATGAAGAAGCGGGAGGCAAAGGAAGGTTGATGTGGGCCGATTTGGAGGTAAAATCTTTATCCGATATTTCTTAATAGCTTTAATAGGCCGCTTTATCAGTTTTCCTAGGATTTTTCGATTCTTGCCGCTAACTTCGTCACGTTTTCAGTAATTTAAGTCGTTGACTTAGTTTGGGTATTGCGCGAATATATTGCCATAATCGTTGCCCAAAGACAAGGCCTACTACATAAAATTATCTAAAACCGCTAAAAACGGGTTTTAGGATGAACGCCTACAGCTTCTGCCGAAGCTTCTACGACATTTTGCCGCAACTCTTCTTAATTCATCTTCTGCATCATCGTTATAACTTTCGCTCCCGTTGTGCTCAATCGTTCTCTGAAAACCAATCTTTTTCTCGTTTCATGTATAATGAAGTTCAACTTGTCAGAAACCTATAGGGCCCCCACAAATCTATGTCTGAAAAAGCCCAATAATTCATTCAGTCTATTGTCTTTTGTGCTGTGATCCCAACCAGTATTCTTGCTATCGAAGCCTATGTCTGAATTCTACAATGCCAGCACTTCACGAATAGCTCAATGAAAACTATCAATATCTTGCGTTTTCGCCATATCCATAAAATGGATTTGTATTCCCATGTAATGCGGTAGCTGTATAAACGTGTTGTCTTTATGAAATTTATTGCCCCTAGGCGCAGAGAGAATGTACACATTTAATACAACCTTTTGGCGTTGTTCGGGGTTGGCCAGCGGATAGGGGATGGTTGAAAATAGAAAGGTGACAACATGAAAAAGGGGAGCCGTTTCGGTGAATAATTCAAAGGGGGTGGCGAATTTAAAAACGGAATGAGGTGACGGGGGTTTAATGATTAAAAGCAAATACAGTTTGTGAGGGCAGTCTTCGGTCGCTTAGGCGCGCTCTCCGCGGATCCGGCGGGCCAGCTGGATGTCCTTCGGCATGATGGTGACGCGTTTGGCGTGGATGGCGCAGAGGTTGGTGTCCTGAAAAATGGAAGTTAGGAAAAGAAATAATAAGTAATCGTTGAAAGAATTAAAATCTAAAACTAAAAATTTACCTCGAAAAGTCCGACCAAGTAGGCCTCCGAAGCCTCCTGCAGGGCACCGATGGCGGCCGATTGGAAGCGCAGATCGGTCTTGAAGTCCTGGGCGATCTCACGCACCTGAAAAAACAGTTTAAGAAACGATATAATGTAAATAAAAATCAATCCCTAGTAAGTTCCAAACTAAAATTCTAGTGAAAATCCGCTATAAAAACTAAATCAAACTCTTTCTAAGCAAAACCCAATTGTAGTATCTCAAGAAGTGAAACAGACGCTGAGATTTGGCAAAAACGAAACGGAAAATAGTTTGGCCTCATTTAAATACTAAAGGAAAACTCATTTTCCATCAAATTTTAGTGATAAACCAGTAAACTACACAAAACTAACTAAACGTCGCTCAAAATGAAAACTAATGCGCACAAAACCTTTAAAAATCAACAGAAACTCACCAGACGCTGGAAGGGCAGCTTGCGGATGAGGAGCTCCGTGGACTTTTGGTAACGGCGGATCTCGCGGAGAGCGACGGTTCCCGGGCGGTACCTGTGCGGCTTCTTCACGCCTCCGGTGGATGGGGCAGACTTGCGGGCGGCCTGAAAAGGAAAGGATAAGTAACGAAATCACCGAAAAATGGATCAAAATAATCAGGAAATGCTTTTACCTTGGTGGCGAGCTGCTTGCGAGGGGCCTTTCCTCCGGTGGACTTGCGGGCGGTCTGCTTCGTACGGGCCATTGCTTGCGAGTTTGACGAGTCTGGAAAAGAATCGTATGCAGAAAGTAAGGATCTACGAAAAGGAAACAAGAGAATATGTAATCAAATAAATACAATAGAGAAGGCAAATGAAAAGCTAGAAAGAATAAGAGGTTCTCAAAAAAAAGTGAAAACAAAATGAAAAGGCGGAAGGAAAATTGCAAATGAGACCAAAAAAGCGCGAAATCTGGGAACGGGGCAGATGTGAGGTCAGATACGGTATTCAGGTCACTGGATAATGATAACGAATCCGTGCATTAATGGCAGGAGTTCGCAGATTTTGAACGCTTTCAAACAAAAGTCTAAATAAAATCAGTTTTTGGTCCACGTTTTGTTAATACCAAGGATGGGTAGTTTCATAACTGAACGTTCTAACCCAACTGACCCCAAAGTGCAAGAGATTTCGAAAGTTAGGTGCAAGAATTGAGGGTTTCGGCGCTAAAGATAGTCATATTGATCTATTTTGATAAAATTAAAGTTCGATTTAAAGGAATATTGTTTTGTAAGTCCTTTTAGTTCAATCAGTCGCTAAAATTTCGGCCTACAATTCGATAAAAAAACCGCTGATCGTTATTAAAACTAACTTTTTAGTTTAAGGTAAGTAACGCTCGTTTCGAAAGTCGTCGTAATAACCAAAAGGTTTAGTTTCGAAAATGCTCTCGAATGAGCCCCCTCAAGCCTAGGGTATCGGAGAGCCCGGGGGGTCCCGCGGCGGCGCGCGGTAATTCGGCGCACCCTGGCTAGAGAGGACGATAAAGCTAGAGAGCGCCGAGAAGCAGAGTGAGTGGTAGATGGTGCACGGGGTATCACGTGACCCAGAGACGCAGAGACAGGGAGTCGGAGCAGGGTATTTGATGCGCAGGCGCTGCTTGGCTGTCCGCCACCGCACACACTTCTACGTAGGATGGAAAAATCGATGGGTCACACAGACACACAGACTTCCTCCCAAACGTCTCTAGGTAGCTTTTGGTACCTTTGGAATGGGCAGGGGCGACTTGGCGGGCTTGGTTTTGGCGGGAGGTCGGGGCGTTTAGTTCGAAAAACTGGGTTACGGTATGCCGGAGTGAAAATTTGGGAAAATCAGCGCATTAATGGAAGGGAAACTAAAATCACGCGGTAACGTGAAAAATTTCTTTAACAATCTTATAAGTCGCCACAAAGTTGACTTCGCTTACTGAAAACTCTTAGGGCTTATAAGCGGGTCTAAAAGTACAGTTTTGCAAGATTTTTAAGGTATCCTATTAACTTTTAGGGTATAACATTAAGAAAATTAAAATTCCTAGTCCCAGACCCAAATCTTTAAACCCCCGCAACTTACAGTACCCCTGAAATTCCGAGCCAGAATTTACAAAGGACGTTCTAGAGACTACAAGCTACAAGTTGCCCCCAAAAAACCAGAATTAATAACCTTAAAAATGGTAATTTACAGTAGAAGAATCCCAGCTGGGGGGCGTGGTCGCTAAAAAGCGGGAACAGCCCCGGCTGGCCTGCTGGGCGAGTGGTACATCAACAGCCCAGAGAGAGGAGCGAGAGAGAGGGCGAGAGGGAGAGAGGTAGCAGAGAAAGAAGGTGACAGCTGGGGAAAGGGCGAGAGAGAGCGTGTTGTGGAGAGAGGTCAGAGGAGGAACTGGACAAAGGAGAGTTGTGAGAGACTGTGTGTTGTCGAGAGAGGTCAGAGAAAAGAGCGAGAAAGCGCGTGTTGTGTAGAGAGGCTAGAGAAAGAACTAGGCAAGGGAGAGGGGCGAGAGATCCCTTGTTCCGTAGAGAGCGCAGAGAAAAGTGAGCCTAGGAAATGGCGCCGGATTTCCCGCGCTCCTCGACGTCGTGGTGCCCCCAGAAGGGTGCGTAGGTGCCCTGGGGGTATGCTTTCTATAATAAAAGGCTACGGTATCAAAAACTACATAAAAAACTGAATTACAGTAGTATTAATGCCTCGACTGTGCCAACAACAACCCAAAGAAAACTCAAAACTACCAACTGCTCAAAATTTGTAGCAGCCCCCAGCTACAACCCTGAACTCTGCGTAGCTGCCCAGGAGCCTAGCCTAGCCCTAGTCTACCGTAATCCCAGTAACCATGGAAGCGGGGGGAAAAGAAAAAAGACAGGAATGGGGAGGAAGAATTTGCAAATGACGCCCCGAAGCACCCCATGCTAATCCGAAAAGTGGGCGGGGCCTAGGTATCGATTTTCGTTATATTATGAAAGCCACTCAAAGCGGGTTTGAGCATGTGACATAAATAGCGCCAATTTCGAAATTCAAAAAGTGGGGCGTGGCTTTGGGAGAAGACGGGCGGCGCGTTTTCTAGCGCGGGCGCCTTTAGTGGGTCCTAAAAGTCGATCGATAAGGGGTCTTGGGTGGATTTTTCAAACTGGGTATACGGTAGGTGTGTAGAGGAGTCTAAGGTACTCCTCTATCGATTTGACGAGAGCGTCATGTGACACGTTTTAGAGGTCATTTTATGTCAAAACGGCAAGGAAAAAGCCGGGAAATGAGAGGCTGGACCCGGAAGTGATAGCAAACGTATCTAACCTTATTTTAATGACTGCATCAGCTTATAATTTAAGGGCCGCAAGCTTAAGACTAAAAAAAATATCGTAACTTAACAGTTTAAAACTACAAAATACAACCACGACGTCCGGGCGCGGGACGGGGTGAGTGAGTGCGTATGTGTCCGTCCGGTCCTGCTATCGATCCACAAGAGAGGGGGCTAGAGCCTAGAGAGAGCGACTTTTCAAGCGGGAGATATTTTTGAAAATTTGAATTTTAGTGGGGGTGGAGTACGGTATCGCGGTGGGACCCCTGGAAGTTCCGGCGGGTCGATACGGCACTTTCCGGCCTCGAGAAGGGCGATTTTTCAGCAAATTTTGGGGTTATTAATGGCATATACCTATTTTATATGGCACCCTAAGGATTAAGGTATATTCTGGTAATTCTGGGCTTAAAAATATCGCAATATTCCGAAATTTTTGGAGAATACGGTAAGAGCGTTGCGGAATCAGTCCCTTTAAAACCAAAACGTGAATTTAATTTTTAACGTATATTACCGTAGTAAAACGATATCAAAAACAGGGTAGACTAGAGCTTTCCATGTATTTAAAGTCTCTAAAGCTGTTAAAACTTCAAAAAAAAGGTTTTTCGCTACAAAAACCTCAAAAGTCGTCTACATATCAGATTTTTAATCTTTAAAGGGGCCGGCAAGTGCAAATCCATGGATTTTAAGCTGAATTAAACCTGCTAAACTCGCCTCGACAAGAGAATGGGGCTAGGAATTGTGGGGTGAGGGACGCAGACACCAAACGAGCAGCAACCGCTTGCCTGACCCGATTCACCCCTCCAATATATAGCCCCAGTTCTCTAGATGGGGTGCTCGCGCTGCGTGGCGCCCCTGGCCCGGGGCCAAGTTCTGCGTGGCGGCCCATTTTTTGAAAATGGTGGTGCCACGTGGTGTCCGATCGATTCGCGGGGGTCGGACTGCAAGGAGTATTCCGGGGTACGGTAGATTTCTGAGGAGACGAGAAGTGTCGCCGGGCCTTGAAAAATTGTTGGGTGCTTTAGAGGGGGTTTCTATAGCTTGAGCAACCCCAGGTATCGCTTTAGTGTAGTGGCTAGTGGGTTAGAATGGTAAGAAATGGGCCCGGGTTCGAATCCAGGGGCTGAAATTGTTAAAAATTATCATGATTTAACCGTTAAGACTATTTTTTAACTATGAAAATGATTTTCAAGGTATAAAAATTCTTAAACCCCTTAAAATTCTCATTCTTAAAGTTCAAATTATAAAATTCGTTTTATACGACCGTAATATTTTGCAAAATTGTGTAATAACCCTTCAATTACGCAAAACAAAGCTTATCGAGCCCAATTTCGCAAATTCTGAAGCCTGCTTATCTGGTTTACCGGGCGCCAAGCCACGCCCCTTTTTCGCTGGGCGCCAGTTGGCTCTAACAGCGCCGCCTCCGCAGGCTCTCTCCTTTTCCCCACACTCTCTCGCCCCACCCCCACCCTGCGCCTCCACGATCTCCTCACTCTCTCCCCTCTCCCTCACGAGAGAGACTTGAACCCCCGGGACTGGTCTAGGGGATAGTGGGGTAGGGCGCCGGGAAATCGGCCCGGGTTCGGATCCGGAAGCTCAAAAAGAGGAAATGTCGAGCTTTTGTCTTTGCAAGTTGTTAGTTATCGATTAAATGCCTCAGATCTAAATTGAAATTAATGAATAGCTGTTCGGAAGCCGAGTAAAAATGGAAACAAAATTTGTGTTTCTATTAAAAAGTTTAATTTAAATTGAAAAAAGCGTCCAATATCCTGAAATATAGAAATTAAAATGATTAAATTTCTAATGCACCTACCTATTCAATTGTAACAACATAGTAATAAAAGTCTATTAAAACCAGCCTACAAGAATGACTGGTAAAAATGGCTAGAAATGAAATTTAGCAAACATCCGTAAGTAAAAACGTGATTATTTTTTTTACAACAATTAACTAACGACATCTATAGTACAAAGTTTAACTTGGAAAACGGCAAACCGAATTTTTAAATTAATCAATTGGGTAATATCTTCGATTCGTTGTTTTTTTAATTTATCAGCAATAACAAGTATAGAACCACGAAGGAATTACAACGGCACATAACAATTGGAATCGAAATGTAACAACGGAAATCTCAAAAAATTATTCTAGAATCAATTTATACTCGTAAATATCCAAGATCGGGCTATACTCAAATACAACAAATTTTTAACTAGAATGCCGCTAAATAAAAGGTAATAACAGCACTATTTCATGAGCTCAGCAAGTGCCGGGTGGTATCTGGCCATGTGATTCTGGAAATGGCCGGCCTTCTGGAACGAGACGCAGCACGTCGGACACCTAAAACTACAGATAATAAAAGTTAAAAAATATATAGGAATCTTATAAAAATTCATTTAATCTAACAACAAAATCAACGTCAAAAACTCACTTGTAGCACTCCTCATCAGCTGCGTGGGCGTCGGCAACGTGCGTTCGCAGACTGTCAAAATCCGAGAACGGCTAAAAAAAACTATATGTTTTTTTTAAAACACAATTTTGCCTTCTCGCACTCGCCGCAGATGCTGAACCATGGGACGCCATTTGTAAGCGCGTTGTCCTAAAAATAATTATATAAAAAAAATTAATCTTTTACCTGCTTGTGCTCCCTGGCGTAATGGACGCGTGTGTGCTCTCCATCCAAACCGACGAATGGGCATTCTGGACATCTGAAAATAAAAGTTTTATGGCGAATTTTTAACTTATAATAATAGCTACTTTTTCTATAACAATAAAGCATTTTAAAAAAACATGATGAATTTCCTTACCTATAGTTTAAAAAAACGAATTTTTAAAAAGCCAAAAAAATTTTTAGTTTTGATTGAAATCAGCCATTTTTGGTCGACAATTCGGCCCTTTTTGCATGTTTTATCAAAAGTTTTAACGTTTTTACGTTTATAAATAGGAAAAACCAGCTTAGAAACACTTTCTCTATTTATACCGGGAAAATTGGATTCCTAGAAAAAGGTATGCACCCCCCGATAATGCAAAAGAACCAAATCTCTAGTCGCAAAAAAAGCCCCTACTTCGCGCCGGTTGAAATCCTCGGAAGATGCGAGACGTCGATCGGCTCCAGCTCCGATATTTCGGGCAGCATTTTTTCGACCTAAAAATGATGAAAATACGCATCGAACAGGCCTACACACCTCCTCCGCCGGGTCGCACTCCATGTCAAAGGCGGCCGTCCGGTCGCGTAACATGCCACCGCCGCGGGTCAGCAGCTAAAAACAAACAATATTCTCAAAAAAATAATTCCATCAAACTCACCTTTTTCTTGTATTCCACCTTTGGCGAGTGCAGCTGCTTGAGGATGGGGCCCTGGCCGAGCCACTCGAAAACGTCGCGCACGTTCTGAAAAAAGTATGCTTACATGAAACTAAAATTTACACTTTAAAAAAGCGTATTTTTTTAATCTGTTTTAGGTTTGCAAAAAGCAAGAAAAGAGCACGAAATTAAAATTTAAGTCATACCGTTGGGGAGGCCGGGGCCTTTTCCACCGGCACTGGCTTCTGCTTATTGTAAAAATCGAAGGCGCCCTCGTATTTCGAGTCGTTGTAGACACGGCGTCGGTAGAAAGCGTCAGTATGCTGGCGGCGGAAGTGAAAGCGGAGCTCCTAAATTTGTATATATTATTTTTATTTAGGTTTAGAAAAGAGTCTCCGAGCTCTTTTGCATTCCCAAAAATTAGCTACCTTTGAAGAGGGAAAACAATTCAGAAACTTCGAAAAGTGCTTGGAAATTTGACAATTTTGGTCGAAAATTCGAATTTTTTAGCGTTCTTAAAAAAAAGTTTTGCGCTGATTATATTAAGTAGAAATCGACCGACCTCCTCGTATTTAAACGTCACATAACATGCGCTGCACGCGAACGGGCGCTTCGCGTCGATATAGGAGGCGAACGACTTTTCGACGGATAGATGGGGCATATCCCGTTGGAACGTCTTCGTTTTCCTAAAAAAAATAGAAAATAAAAAAGACAAAACAACTCACGACAACTCGACCGCCTTCTCGAAGGCCCTTTTGTCGAAATGATGAGCTCGCACTAGGTGCCGAATTTGGTAATATTCAACGCAGCTTCTTCGGAACGAGGTTGAAATCCTGCAATCATAAAATTCGTGAAAATCCTAAAAATCACTCGCCTCTTTCCACAGCCAATCGGGCAAAGCGGTCTTTCCTGAAAATTTACAAAATAGCAAAAATTTAGAGGGATAGAGAGTTCTTTAAAGGGACTCCGAAATCTGGTCCACGGCCCCCTGCTGTGATTCCTGGCAAATTGCCAGATGCGGCCGCAACGCGACCGCGCCGCATGGTCTTTTGCCCCCGTTTGGACCCGAAAACTCTTGAATTTAAAAATTCTGATGCTATTTTTGGAATCTTCACCGAATTTTGATCATTCCAGACTTTTAAATTATGAAAATTGACCAGAGAATCACCGAGATCGAGAGATTGGGTGTCTTACAAGGCATTACGACATGTAATCGTCGCACACTCAAAACTCGTTTTCGTCCCGAGAACATTTCGGTTTTACTCAAATATTTGACGTTTTTTCGCAACGAAAACAGTTTTGTTGTACTCCTCGGCAGTGACTCTTTCGTTTTTTGACCAGTAGGTTCAATCCCCGTACGCGCGAATTTTGACTTCTGAGCCCCTTTAAAGACAAAATACGAAAATTCTCACGTCTCTAATTTCCTTGCGTCGTCGTTCTTTCCCATCTTCATATCGGTTACACGGATGCCTGATTTTCAGGTCTTGCAACGCAGGGTATTGAACATCACATTTTCTACACGTTAACTAAAGCAAAAGCTCATTATCAGTCTAAAAACATTACAAACCAGTCCGTCTCCAAATTTCAGCTTGAACGGCCACTCCAAATGGATCGAGAGTTCAGTCCTAAAAATTTGATAATTTTGTGACGCTTATTCTTACTGAAAAACTCGAATAAATTCCTGTGCGGCATCCAGGTGGCCGTGTCGTCGAAGAATGTGGGCTATGTAACTTTCGAGCGGCATTTGACCATGTTTGTCGCGCTTGATGTGGCCCTAAAATTTGAAAGTTTAAATTAACATCCTAAAATATAATTATTCAAACATTTTATATGAAAAAACACCGATATTATGGCGTAAAGAGTAAAATCCACCTTGCAAAAATAGCAGGTAGATTTCTTGGCGTTGCGGGTGCAATTGGCAAAAACCGGCGATTCGAGGGCCCATTGGGAGGAGCGGAGAGCTTCTAGAAATACAAAATTTACAAGGTATTTCCTTTGTTTATATTTTAAAATTGATTTTTTCTATTAAGGATTCGAAAATCACAAAATTTCACCTAAAACTAGAAGAAACCAACCTGGATAATCATTTGGATCTCCGGTGGCGTTCAATTCCGATGTCGACCCAAGCTTGATCCCCGAGAGGCCGTACGAGCTCGTGGAGGTGGATTGGCGAGAGGAGTAGCCGGTAGAGGTATCGGAATCCTAAATCGTGATTTGAATTCGGCTATTATCGATATCTGCAGCGTTTTGAAAGGTCTCTTAAGCTGTATTTTGCAAAAAAAAGCTGCCTTGTGTTTTGTAAACTTTGAAAATGCTTTTATTTTTATAAAACCAACCTCAAAACAATCCAATTCCGGCGTGATCGCGCGCTTGGCAATATTGTAACCAGATTCCATCGTAGTATCAAGATCTAAATTCTCCAATATTATACAGAAACCGCCTAATATTCTACCTTCGGGCTCCGACTTCCATTTCCTTGGCGTCAAGGTATCCGCTTTATTCGGGATGACGAGCAGCTCGTTATGCATCAAAGACAGCAGCGTCCGCTTCTGCGGGTACTTTTCATCCGAGAAACAAATATCGTAGCGCTGCTGCTCAGGTCTAAGGGAGGAAATGAAGATCCAAAATCAAACTAAAAAGCTAAAAACTTTAAAACTTACAAGCTCTCAAACGTCGTCGAACCTCCGGAGAAATCTCCAAAATGAGAGTGCACTCTCGCCAAATGACTTTCGATCCCATCGGCACAATCAACCCGCGAACAAAAACGGCATCTAAAATTTTTATTTTTCGTTTTTGAAATCAGAAACATACGCCGAATCCGTTGCATGCGCTGCTAAATGGGCAAACCGGAAGGTGGCCGTCTTTCCGATGAATGAACAGAGCTAAATAAAAATATTGACGACATCAAGATGTTATACTCTACCTTGCACTCCGTCCTAGCTGGCCTTACCGGCATGACCAGCTGGCTTTCCGATTCCACCTTCTCCCTAGGGAAAACATTATAGCTAACAACTTCTACCTACTTTTTAATAGGCGCCCGACGGATATTTTCGCGTAGACGCGCCATTGCTTCCCTCCGCAATTGCCGCTCCGCTTCAGAAACGGGCGTTTTCTGAAAAAGATCTTAACAACGTTGAAACGCTTCTACCCGTGACTTAGCCGAGTCCAGGAGGCCAGGAGAGCCGTTTTTCAAGCGCCCAGGCGCCATTGTAAATTTTCTAAACGATACAGTTAGCTATATTTAGCGTTTTTCAAAGTTTAAAAAGGAAATGAAAAACGAAAACTGGCGAAAACCCAAGCCTTCACATATGGAAGGCAAGCGCAGAGTAGCGTCGTTGGGTGGAGTGTGGCGTACCCATTTCGCTCAACCTTGAAAAAATTCGTGAAAAGCTGCAAAAATTCGCAAAAGAGTAATAAAATGGATTGCTGAACTAATAAAAGGGTCAACATTTGAAAAATCGGATTAGAGCTATTCAGAAATACCGCCAATTGCCTCGCCTTTTTCAGAATATCGGCCAAGATACGATCCAGATAAAATCTGTAATATCGTATGTTTCTAATTATTACGTTTGCAGGAATTAAAGGAATAGCGCAAGCAGCAGTCCACGTGCTACGTGGATTGGCGGAACTTTGCCAGACTTAGCTGGGTTTGCGCATAGCAACATCCTTATCAGCAAATCTGCGCATTAATGAGAGGATTCGAGGTTCGATCCGCTATTCTTATTTCAACAGGCTCGCTATGTTTTTTTCTCATCTGTCGACAGCATTCGCAAAGCCGTTGTGATCGCTCGGGGGCCCCCGAAATGTCGCGCCGGCGCTTCTTTGCGTTCCGAAATGCGCTGGATGACGGGTTGTTTGCTCGAACCGGCGGATCAAACGGAAGGCTAAACAGATCCGTTAGGCCGCCAGCCGATTTTTCTGGAATTTGCTTGTTTTTGGGTTTTAGATTATTTTTATGCTCGTGGTCAACTAGATGTTCAACGACGCTTAATTTCAGAATACTGAAAACTTTTAAAACGTTCTGGAAATTCATAAAAAAAACTTTTTTTTGCCGTGGTCACTCGATTGTTGATCTTAAAATACTAAAAAATTCGCGAACTATCCATTATGTAGCCGAGGAGGCCTTCACCTTTTTTTGAACACCCACGACTTCCCGTCACTTTCTTTGTTTCAAAAATTTAAAATTCATGGCTGAAATTTTCTAGCGTAGTTTTGTGCTTATGCGGCGACCGGGTTCCCAAAAAAAATAGAGAAACCCTTTCAACAAGAATTTTGGGGTTTAAAAATAGCTCAAAAATTGGCTTCACTGCCGAATGCGACACATGTTTCGTATCGCGACTGTAATGCTTCTTCTCCCCACATGGGTGATCCCTATGTATTTGGTTGACCACTTTCACCTGGCGCTTTTTGTAGAATTACTGAAGCCCGCAGCGAATGAGAGTAGTTTAGTACTCGTATTTTTAATTTTTCGGAGAGTTTGGTTATACCTGACGACTATAATTTAACAAGTTAAGGTTTTTATAATATAACCTTTTTTGCGCGATTCTTACAGTTTTACAACCGGCTTTTCCAGAACGGAAAATCTCGAAACGATTAAAATACGTTTATTAGACGCGAAATTTTACTGTATACTTGTTTCCAAACTTATATTTATTAAAAATACACTAAAAACATTATATTTCCCGAAAGTAGCCCCCTCGATTCAGGTTTTCCACGATGTATCCCGTCCCTTCAATGGCACAAAGTGGATTAGCGGGTCTATGCCTACAGCTACAGAATTGGTGTCCATTGTCCAGTCACGTACTGAATAACCGGATCTTACCATCTTCAATTCGTAAGTATACACCGACTATTCCAACATATACCAAAATGGCCCATTTCTGAAGGGAATCGAACGTCTTTTTCCGGCAGAACTTTTCCGAAGTGTGCGATTCGGGTGCTCGATTTCTGGAGCCGAGGCCTTGACCGGAAACTAACCGCTTATTAGCGAGCGACACGAGGCCCGGCAACAGACCTCAAGTATTTTTTCGGGGTGTTCGACATTTCAAAGGATGTCATTTTCGCAGAAAACAGGTTTTTTTGGAGGTTAGGAATACGGTATTTTGTAAAATTCTGACTCATCCAAAGTCTTCTCTCTCTCTCATCCAATCCCTATGCCTCTAGCTTTCTCTCTCTCTCTCTCTCTCTCTCTCTCTCTCTCTCCCCTCCATCATCTCCAGGATAAGCGTTCGCCCCATCAACATCCATATCTCCCATCCGCTGTCCGTCAAGAAATTATGCCAGGCCATTCATCACATGGCCTTCCCAGGCCAGCCAACCAGTGGCCCACGTGAAATTGGAGCCCCAAGGCCAAGGAGAAGGCCCACCTCAGCTGGACGGGCAGGCGAACGGGAGCCCCCAATTTGGGCACCACTAGAATATTTACCCGGCCGCATCAATGTATGCTTGGAATAGGTTTTGGTCAGTGTTCTGTCATTCGTAGCCCTCTAGCGACGGATTGGCTAGAAAGTTTGATGTAGCTTTTTGTGTCGATTCTTCTGTTAATAGCGTCAAGCTCCACCTGCCTTCTGAAAAATGATGATAAAAATGGAAATTTTATGCTTTCTGCCCTATTAGGATAGATAATCTCTGCTAGCGTGCCTTCCATGTGTGTTTATGTTGTCTAGAAATGTTTTAGGTTTAAATCTTTTCTTTTTAAGCTTTCCAAATCGAGCTTGAGCTATCTCTTGCTCTAGCTCTCTCCTAAACTCGTGCCCGCTCTTTCTTTGGAATTTTCAGAACTTTCGGATCATTTACCCACGAATTCTATCCTGATCTATCGGCTCTCTATCTACCTATTCTGCCCCCCCCTCTCTCTCTGTCTCTCTCTTCCTCTCTCTCTTCCCTCTAACAAACACAAACATTACGCCATAAACACGAGTGAGTGACCATTGTCGGCTCGGCTTGCCATAGTAGTCCATAAGTGGGCCACCCTGGCTGCCAAAGTGGTCCGTTATGAATTTCGGGGCCCGTCAGCGTCCGCCGGACTCCTTGTTTTCCGGAGCATTACTATGTGCACCCTCGCCGGGCTACCCCGGATATTTTGACCAATGCATATAGGATAGCCCTGACCGGGAGAGCTATGAATAGGGAATGGTATTAGCGAAATTCAATGCTTAGTTCTGTATAAACTGCCTCAAAAAGCTTTTAGGCTGATTTGATAAACTATGAAATAAGGTCGACAATCCAAAAAGCAAACCCTCCCCAACTTTTCCTCCAAAAAGCAAAAAGCTTAGCAGCGAGTGGTTTCGATCCACCGACCTCTGGGTTATGGGCCCAGCACGCTTCCACTGCGCCACGCTGCTGTGGGATCGGCCCTGTCCAGGGAGGCTCAAAAGGGGACAGCCACCTGGCGTACACCACCCCAAGGCGCTGTGCCCCAATTTGTCGGCCATCTGCCTCGTCGGTGGCTGCTTTCTGTTTTGGGATTTGGTTCAGACAGTCGATTCGGTAGAGTAAAAAAATTGCCTTATTATTGGTTACGATATTATACTATTTACGCTTGTTTCTTAATTTTTAACGTAATTTTTCTCTAGATCGTATTTTTGCAGCGTGTTTAAGCATTACCACGCGTTGTTTTGGTATTTTTATAACTTTCTTGATTTTATATGTTTTCTGCGTATTTTCTTACCCGTTTTCTAGGTATTTTATACTCCTAGACATCTCTATAGTTTTCTTTGATAATATCTACCCCAGACACAAGCGACACGAGAATTCAAAGAGCGTGAAATTACCTTAATGAGAATTCTACGAAATTACGATGATACTTTGTTGTCTAATTAGCCAAATAAGCCGTTCCCAGAAAGTAATTATTTTCCGCCTTTTTTCTCAGAGATCATTCATTCGCCTGGCATCTGGAGATGTCCCGGATCTAATTAGTCGTACTTCTGGATGGATGGCTGAAGAAAGAGAGAGAGAGAGAGAGAGAGAGAGAGAGAGAGAGAGAGAGGCAGAGAGAGAGGAGGGAGAGAAATAGAGAGAGCGAGAAGCAAAGAGAGAGAGAGAGCGAGAGAGAGTACCAGAGATACGGACCCATATCACAAAAATTTGGACAAGCTCACACTCAGGGAATGTGTTTCCTCGTCCTCATCCTCTAAGATGTACATTTCTGAACACCCCCAGCCTGACGTTCGCTTGCCATGAATCGCTGACATTCGAATAGGCCCCCTACGTCAGTTTTCATCTTTTCAAGAGAAACCTCAAAAGGTCCTCGAAAAGGTCAAAGGACCTACACGCCATTGTTTCTGGGGCGCCGACCCGAAATGGCATTCGCTAGACCTTCCGGGCGCATTTCCTCTTTGCCATCTTGAAACTTCGCTAGAAGTTGAATGAATGGTGTTTACATAAATTGAATCTATTACGAAAATAGGGTGGTTGATAGGATGCGCGTGGAATTTGGAAAGTTTCGTCACTACCAAGAGTTGGACTTTGCTAGCTGGAAGCTGAATATCCAGTTTTCGGCAGGAATTTATAGCGTAACTGGTTGCTG